CATTGAAATTCATCAAGATCAACATGATGATAATTATAATGAAAAGATTTGACTACTAATGAGATTAATTAAATCAAATTAAGTAAAATTAATGAAATAAATTGTTTTGATTGAAGATTGAATTGAATAAAAATCAGTCAAATTGGAACTTAAGTTGAGTTAAGATTCAGTTTGTTCTGAAATTCTGATTGAATTTGTTCAGATGAATTGCCCTGTAAATCAGTTGATCATTAGGAATCTAAATTATTAACAATCGTAAACATTTATTATTTAAGTGCCATTAAATTGCTCACCTGAATATTTCATCCAATTAGAATATTGTTTTAATCATAATCACGGAATCAATCAATGAGAATCGTTATTGATTTTGTTGATTCTTAAAAAAATCGTGGTGGTTATTTGTTTTTTCCCCTGTCATTTGATTCAATATTTTCCTTCCTGTATATTCAATCAAATTGAGTTCATTTTTATTTCATCTCCCATCATGATGATCATCATATACTATTACTTATCATTCACTTGAATTCAACTTTTGAATTTGTTTGAATTCAATTGAATTTCATTTGGAACCATGATGATGATGAAAGAAAACTCTATCAACTGTAAGAAGAGAGATAAATGTAAAGGGAGAAAGAGATGAGGAAACACCATGATAAGTTCAATGAGATGATGAAGAAACCAATTCAGATGATACATAATTTATTCAATTTGATTTGATCAGGAAAATGTTTATGTTGTCTTGATGAAGCCAATCTATTTGTAGGAATGTTCAGTTTATGTAAATGAATAGCATACATGGTGAGAGAGAGAGAGAGAGAGAGAGAGAGAGAGAGAGAGAGGGGAGAGAATAAAAAAGTTCTGAAGAAACTCAGAAGAGATGAACAAGTCGAACTACTTTTGCTTTCTCATTAGTGAAAATTCTGTTTAATTTCTTAACGTTATTCATCAAACTTGGACTCTTTACAATTCGAATCAGAACTTTTTTCTCCTTCTTCGATTTCGAATTAGTTTCATCATCAATCTCTAATTGTGGTTATCATTTTAATTCCAAGAGATTATCGATCGAAAAACTTTCTCTGTATCTCTCTCCTTTCATCCATCTCTTAATTTGTTTCTCGTTCAATGATAATAATCAATTCTAACTGTCCATGTAATTCAGTTTAATTCTGTAATCCTAATTATCTTAAATGCTTAAAATAACAATCATCTGAGCCTCTTGATTATTTTTCATTGGAAACAATTAACTTTTCCCTTGTAAAATAATTATCCATGATAAAACATCAAGTTAATGAAGCTAAAAGTATCAAGTAAATGAGATTTGGATGCGCTAGTATCACAATTAGCTTGGAGAAAATTATTCTCAGCCGATAATTGATATTATGATATTATTTCAGACTCATTGATTCTCAATCTGCTGAGGAACCATGAGCTCAAGATGATGATGATGATGATATTCATTGAAATAGAATCAATGGAAATCGATTAACGATTTTCATGTAAATTTCATTTTCTTCATTTTTCTAATGATACAATTTTTCTTCCAGCATAAATGCTCATATTCAGATTGATTATTATTGCAAATAATAATAAAGATAATGATGAGGATAATTGTTATTTGGAAATGATTTGAATACTTTCTCGAATATGTTGCATACAAAATGATGTATTCTTATGTATTATCTTATATTGAGAATGATTTGATCATGATTACGATTACTGTTTCTTCAGGATTCTCTTTGTAAATAATAATCGTTATATCCTGATGACTTGGGAAGAGTGAAGATTATTCAAGATAAACTGAATCATCATCAAGAATTTCCTCCTGATCCATGAATCTCACCCCTTTTCCCATGATGTATTTTCATGATTATTACTGTTGAAGGTAAATAAATGTATTCATCCATAGAAGTTATTATTTTGTTTCATCTGATGCTCATGTTATTCTTGGTTTATCATTATTATTATTTTCCATCATGGTAACAGCCGGTTCTTGATTGAGGGAAACAAAATCATCACAATCAACGAGGTTCATGTAATACTTGAGACTACTCAAGATCCTGAATACGAGCCATGGTGAAAATATTATTAACTGGCCAGTTTCAAGTAGATGATTGAAAAATAATCTGTTAATTTTCATGATGGAGTAAAAGATTTTGCTCAACATTCAAGAAGTTCAATAAGTTGATAAGTTTCAAAGTAATTTTCAATTATGCTCATATTTGCTTGAGGGGCAATGAAACTGAAGCATTGATAGTGATGATTATTGTTATTATCATGGTGAATTGATAGTTATAAACATGAGTTCAACATGATTATCAATTTGCTTTTCATGAGATAAAAAATGAATGCTAATGAATCTCATGAGGAAAATGAATCAACTTATGAAAAATTATCATCATCATCATCTTCTTATCATAGATGATAATAGTTGATATTATCTTTTGATGTTCATTTCTTTCATATTTTCATCACCATGACTTAGTTATGTTTACTTAGGGGAGAAAATAATTTCTCGTTAGGCAAAAAAGTCATTAACACATTCTCATGTTAATCATGTTGATCACCATGATGATTACAACCACAGGGATTTAAGATTATTATTATCTATGATCATGGTGATGATTATAATCATGATAATTTTCCAGTTAATTAATATCATGTCCAAAGAGATCAAGCTTTATGTTTCCAAGGTATTGCGATTGTACATTTTGTTAAATCCTTTGAATCTGAGTCTTCAGGTATCAGAACTTTTCAATTTTCAAGATTGGAAACTTTTTTTTTCCTTCAAATTCAGAGCTTTATCATGATAAGTTATGAGTATTTCTGTTTCTTTATCATCTCCAGGAATTGAATTGAGTTGGAAATGAAAAGTTTACAATGTGAAAAGTTTCATGAGATGTTTCAGAGATTCCTATGAATTGTTATTCACAAGCTTCCAATTGATTTTATCGCTGAACTGTTGATAAATGTGATTGAAACTTGGATGAACTTTTTTATTTCTCAAATGTAATTGTGTATAAAGTTGATATTGATAAACATTCATGAAAAACTGTTGATATCTGATGTCCATCCATGAATCTATTGGAATCAATTCAAAGATTCATTTGGTTCAGTCTCATGATATTAATACAATTCTTGATGGGAGATTATTTTTTTGTTCTCCCATCAGTTCAACTATTGAAAATGAAAGACAAACTCATGATGATAACGAATGAATTTTGTTGATTTAACTTCGTCTTCTTTTTCCTCTGAATCAAGAATCATGAGAGTTTCGGTTATATTGGATTTTTTTCTTCTTTTTGTTCCTTGTTCTCATTAATTCTGATCAACATTACGAATCAAATCACGAAATCAGAGTCCCTTTTTTGCTTTCAGAACTTTCTTAGAACTCGAAGAGCTTCATTGAACACTTTTGAATACTGTTTACTTTCTGAAATTTTTGCCTCAGATTCTGATAATTTTTCATGGGCTCATGATGAAAAATATGATTCAATCAACGAGAAATGCTTGGTAAACACAAGATGAAAGTTCAGTTGAAACTTCAGCTCATGATCCAAAATGAGAACAAGAATCTAAAAGAAGAAGCTAAAAGGTAACGATAGGTCAATATAATAAAGTGAATGCTAATCAATAAACGATGATGATTTAATAAATTGTTCTGATGATAGAGATAAGTAATGATTCAGATTTCAATCTCTTCCTTTACAGGGGGACATTTTTTTTCTTCCATTTTACAGTAATTGACTTTTCACCCTTGTCTTTCTGTCAGAACTTTTTTTTCTCTTGCTTCTTGTCTTTCTTTTCACTTTTTTCAACTTGTTCTGGTTTTTCTATTGTTCTGAATCTGAAATTCTCTCTTCGAATCTGCTTAAGGCTCACATGATTGAGTGTTCAATCAAGAATTTTTTCCATCTCTCTCTCACTCATTCATTCACTCTATTTTTCCATCTATCTTTTTTCTTGACTTGAGAATTCAGTGGAAGATGAAAAAAAGTTCATCTTAACATGTTCATCCCCTGAAAGCACATAAGTTATCATCTTTTAGAGGCCTGATGAAGATGATCATGGAAAGTTCATTCCCTGAGGGCTGAATAAACAAAGTCAACTGAGCAAAAGGAAAGAAAGAGAGAGAGAGAGAAAGAGGATAAAAAGATGATAAAGTTTCGTTCTCTTTTTGTTTTGTTCTTCTTTTCATCATCATTATCTTTCGTCAGATTTTTCATCCTCATCTTTTATAATTTTTCCTTCTCCTCATATATACATTATCACTTACGATTTAGCGAAAATTTATTGATTGCAATTATAATAGTAAATGGAACTTTTCATCGTCCTGATGATAAATGATGAGACGACAAAGAAGATGAGAAAAAGTTCTGATCGTATGAATTTATCTTCATTTTCGAAAAAGAAAACGAACAAAAAAAAGAGAATAAGAAAAAGTTCTGACAAACAAAAAGTTCAAATCTCTAAGAAATGAATCACAACTTATTTTCCCTTCGTTCCAACGGAGATAAATTCATATTAATTTGATTGCACCAAGAGAATTGGAACCCTTTCTATTTAATTTAATTGTCTCTCATCATCACAATCATGTTTCTTAATTCAGTTATTTTGATAACTGAAATAAAGAGCAAGTTAATCAAGTCGATATCGTTTACAGTTTACAATTAAATTTACATGATGATATCAATGTCTCAATGAATTGAACTAATTTTTAAACTAATCAATTATGACAAAGTAAATTTGTAACAATCAGATCAAATTAATTCAACTACAAATCAACATAACAAAATAATAATAGTAAAACTTTTTTACGTTTCAATCAGTTGATTTAAACTCAACTTTTTGTTTCATAATTGATTCAATTAACTTTAACAATTGTTTTATACTCTTCCGATTATTGTTAATCATGATAATATTATTATAAATATATTATATAATATATATCGAGTGAAAAACAATTGATTTATATATTGAATTTAGTTGATTATCATCGTAAATATTGGGTGAAGTGTTATTACTCCTCATGGTTGGTATTATTTACGATAATGTAAACACTAAATCAATTATTAACAATAATGAAAGGATATTAATACAACTCAAATCTATGGAGTTAAAAACAAACCCTTTGGATTAGAGGTTCAGTGTTGGTGTTGATGTTGGGAGGCAGATGTTGAACTCATCATTTGCCATTCATCATCATCATCATCATAATCATAATCATCCATTGTAATAACCATTTAATCCATAGGAAGTGTTATTATGAGAGAGTGGAGGTGGAAATGTTGTTGGAAATATTGGAAAAGTAGGAAAATGATATAATAATGATAAAGGAACAGAATATAATCTATGGATAAGAAATGGAATAGAACACAATTGAAATAGGGATTTGATTAAAAAGGAATGAGGGTATTAGAATTATGATGATGATGATGATGATGAAAAGATGATATTCTTTTCTTTTCTGGCTTGTGTTCCCTTCAGTCTTGGTGTGTTGGTGAATTTGTATCAATTGGGCCTTGGATTTTGGTGTTATTGTTTTAAACTTGGTTCCTTTTGTCCCATGTACCTAGAAGGATATTAATGATCTTGAAAACAATGGAATTAAATTAATGTTGTTGTTGTTGTAATATTAAAAATATAACAGAGGAAGATAAAGAAGGCAAATGATGATGATGATGATGAGAAAGATCTTTTCTTTTGTTCTTGATAAATGTTAAGATAAATTCTTTGATATCTGATTGTAGTAAACAAGGCAAAGGGAGAGATGAGAAGGATGATGATGATGACGAAAAGAATGAGGGAGGATAATGGCGATGATGATTTTTCTCCAATATAATCACTACAAGTAGAGTTAAAATCAGAGAAGAAAATTCTTTTCTCCTGATCACCCAAAATCTACGCCTTCTTCATTTTTTGTTACTCTCTTTTTCTCATCTTTCTCCTTCTTTGTATCACAAACATTTCCTTTTCCATCCTTTAGCTTGATCATTTTTTCTCCATAGTCATCAAAGATCATCTTTCTTCCTGGTCTGACCTTTTGAACCATTTTTAATCGATAAATTTACAAAACACAGGGCAAAAACCATTGATTTCTTCCTTCAACACAACCATGGAGATATGTTTACATGAACTTAGATGCTGAAAACAGGAGGAGAAGAACAAAAAAAAAGAAAAAGAGAAAAACTTACAATAGCCTAAAGCTATAAATCATTAACCATGTAGATATTACAAGAGGAACAACAATCAGAATCTCAATTCTGGTTGTTGATGTTGTTATTTGGGTTTAATCTTGTTCTTTGTTGATCAAAACAATTAGACAATTGAAACAGTAAAACAGTTGAATATACACAAATATATATATTTATAAAAAAAAAGGAAGGATCCAAATTAATTAGAATCAATTAATTATCAAAAAAGAAACAGAAAATCAAATGTTTACAAAAACGAAAAGTGTTAATTACTTTAGTTCGATAACGTTACCGGTAGAGGGCGAAAAAGAAATTCTCTTAATTGTGATTGGTCAGTTTGTCTTTATTATTAATTTTGAATTAATTAATTAATTTCTTTTCGTTAATTTTTGTTGTTCAGGGAATTCGTTATGGTTTACCTCCGATTGATTCTCTTCGCTGGTCACCAACTCAACCTGTTTGGAATGATAGTAAATATTGTGATCCGTTGGTGAAAAAAAGAGCAACCAAATTTGGATCATCATGTTTCCAGATTAATCCATATACCAAAAAGTATCAAGGATTAGAGGATTGTCTTTATATCAATATTTGGACACCGACATTAAATGAGACAGTAAGTTTGATTTATTGTTTATTGTTCTTCATCTCTCTATTTAATTTGTTACAATTAACAATTAACTACAGAGCATTTCACCGAGTTTCCAACGATATATCTCTGCGACAAAAATGTTCAGAAGCTGTAAACTTGTTAGGAGCCTTATGATTGCAAGTATATTTGATTGTGACCATCAAATGACCTTGAAACTGTAATATGACAATCTTAGTGTAACGGTTGTTAATGTTAATATTTCACTCTCCAGCTTAACCTGAAGGCTTAAACATTATCATCAAGTTTAAATATACATGTAGTTAGATTTGATTGTGTGTTCTTGTGTTATCCTGAGTAAATTATGTTAATCAATCAATAATCTAAATATACTTAGTTTAAGGAGTGAAAGTGAGAGAGTGAATTCAGTTGATTGTTGAATCATTAAAAAAAGATTTAAGTATCTCCCTTGAAGTGTTGGTTAAGGTTAAACCAAAGAAAAAGAATAGAATTTTTTTTTCTTCTCTCTAAACCAACATGAGAAAATTTTCTATTCTAATTGAGGTTTAATTTGCTTTAACCCTTTTTACTCTAATTTTTTAAACAGTAATAATCATTAATCAAGCTAAAGAAACAAAAAAACTAAAGACACAATCTAGAGAGAAACTTAAAGTCATTAAAAAGATCAATATACTCACCAATTTAGTTGGAATCAATTAATTAGAATGTCAAATGTAAATGAATTAATGTTGTTTCTTCCTCTTTTCTTATTCTTTTCCCTGTTTGTTACTTTTTCGAAATTGTAATATTATAATAATATAATGAGAATTAGAATTAGAATTCTCTCACATGCTGGTGGAACATTTAATCTACAAAATGGATTATCGCATGAGAAGAGAAACAAAAGATAATCGTTTCTCTTATATTTTCTTAACTCATTGTTCTATCAATAATGAGAGAACATTTATCCTCTGTTCAAATTAATTTTCTCGTTCATCCAATGTTGACATTTACTATTAAATCATGGAAATAGAGAGATAAAAATCAAAGATGAAAATTCTATTTGCAGATGAAACGTTCATCTCATTCGTTAAGAATTAACCTTCAGGTGAATTACCTGAGAATAAGATCATCTCCATTATATAAAATGAGAAATGGTTGATTATCATTAAAGAATCTCTCTCATCTATTTCATCTTGATCATCTTTCCTTTTTCATGGTTAGATGAACATTCAAACTTTGTCATGGTGATAATGATAACCAGGGAGTGTGAGAATTGATATTGATTCCAATTGTATTCTCAACCAATTGTTAACAGTTAATCAACTGAAAGTTATCATTGATAAAACCAATTCTAGAACCAATTTATTCCTAACAGGTGAATCTCTCTCTCTCTCTCTTTCCGTTTCCTTTTACAATAACTGTAATTCTGTTGCTCAGTGATTATTAATCCAAGCATTAATCTTATTCATGGTTAACCATTAAAACTGTGTAATTGGTTTTATTTATATTGTTACCTTTCTATTTGATTATTGGCGATGATTAATATCATGTAACATGGTAAATTTTCTCGTGTCTTGATTACCCTGAAATCATGTCACATTTTCTTGCAAAATTATAATATAATTTACGTTGATTACGATGTGTAAACATTATTAATGTCAAGATTTTTTTTCTTCTGCTCTTCTTTATCCATGTAACAAAATACAAGGATAAAAAACAAGGTTAAATCTCTTCAGTTAATCCAATTTATTTGATTCTTATTTTTACTCTTCCTCTTGTTGTATCGTCCATTGAGATGAATTTATGTTCATATACACGAGATTCAGTAACCTGGAAAAATTGGAATACAGTAACAGACAAAAGAGAAACAGTATTACAAGATTGTCAGAACAATTAGATTCACCATTGGAAGATATAAGATTTTCAGTGGATAGAAAAAATCATATATAACTGATTTATCTCTGATTAAATATGATGAGCTCAAGAAAGATTATCTTCTCTGGTGTCTGGTTAAATTACTCTGTTGATTAACTTTTAATTGATCTGTATCATTATTCATATGAAATATAATAATGATTCCAAGTCAAGAATGAAAGTAGGTTCATTTTTTCTCTCTCTTTTCTTAATCTGTTCCAAAGATGAGAAACAAATCCAAGATTAATGTGTAGTCTCTTTTTTTTGCTTCGTTTTCTGAAGGGTTAAAGGTTCAACTTTTCGATATTGTTCTTGGTTAAAGAGAGAAAGTGATCAATTGAAGATTATAATTCTCATCATGATGTATAAACAATAATAGTTGAATTCTGAAGGATTGAAGCGTTGGAGGATCGACAGACAAAGGAAGATTTGGAACTTTGGAAATGTATATAAAGTAAAGATTTCAGGGAAAAGAATGACGAACAATAAGATGAAGTGGAAAATTAAGGATGAAATGAGAAAATGAGAGAAAAAGAATCTATTTTTCTCAGGTATTAATTCGATGATGGATTGAGTGAGACAACTTGTTCTTCATCAACCTGGAGAATCAGGGATTCATGATGAAAGAAAAGGTAGACGGAATCTGAGAGATTCCAACATGAAATATACTTTACAATAGATGAGAAAATGTTACAGGGATCAACTTTTCTCACCACTGAGATATTATGATTATCTGGATCTTCTCGTGTTTGAAAGATGACGAAGGAAAAAGGAACTGTCCGAATAACGGATTTAGAGGTCACTCATTGGAGATTATCTTGGTTCATTTTGATCTTACTAATAATTGTTTTTTTTTTCTTTTTCAGGCTAATCTTGATGTTATGGTCTGGATTCATGGAGGATTCTTACAGTTCGGAAGTGGCCATGATCCTGGTTTACGTCCGTCAACTCGTTTAGCTGTTAACATGAATACGGTTTTCGTTTCATTAAATTATCGTTTATATGCTTTAGGATTTTTAAATCTCGCTGATTTACCTGGAACAAGTAATTCAAATTCAACAAAAGATTTAGATAATTTAAAATCTATTACTGGTAATTATGGTTTATCTGATCAACTGATTGCTTTCCAATGGATTCAACGTAATATTGGTAAATTTGGTGGATCTCCTGAAAAGATAATCACTTTTGGCTCGGATGCTGGTGCTGCATCAATATTAGCTCATCTTACCAATTCGATTGCCTCCAAAATAATAACTAAAGCTTGGATAATTGGACCTACTCTATTTATGAATAGAACTGCTGATTCAATAAGTCACATTCAACATTTTGTTAATCGAACTGGATGTAAAACTATTGATTGCCTGAAATTCATGTCCCCTGAAAAGATAACCCAATGTTGGCTTGGTGATAATGATCCTTCATTTAGGATTATTGATCAAAATGATTTACCAATTATTGGTATTTATCCTGAACAACTTATCCATGTTGATGGTAAATGCAATTTACTTTTCTATTTTGTCTGTTTGCTTTTATAACTAAATAGATTTGAACTTTTTTCTTTTCTTTGTGAATACCCTTCATTTGACCCAAGGTGATAACCTTTTAGATTTAATTTTGGAAACATGAATTTAAAATGAAGGAAATGATTTATTTTCTCAATTGAAAATCATTTGATCATGAAAATGTTCATCTTCCCATAATGTAGCTTCATATCTGTGTATCCTCATGCTATTCAACTTCTCGTCTTTCCAGCAATTTAATTATCACTTTGAAAAGGAAAAGATGAAAATAATAATAGATTCCAATGTATCATAATGATGGTTTTTCTGAGGATAATATATCAAGAATTTTCACCCTGAAAACGATAAGAATCCATATGATTACTACCTTATCTTTTTCTCTTTCCTTCCTAAATTTACCTTTTTTTTCTTATTCTTTTTCTTGGATCAGATCACTCTCTCTCACTCTCGTTTCATTATCTTTCTACTTGTTATAGTCACAGAAAAGCTCAGAGATTCGAAAATCCTGAATCCGGAAGTGGTAAGATGACAATAGATTGCAATTGATTAGTTCTCGACAGTTTCCTGGATAAGTTTTTTTCTCTCTTCTCCTTCTACTTTCAGATTGGATTAGCTAAAGAAATAGGATGTTATTATCTTCCTTATTTTCTTTCCTCATCATTATGACGATGGTGATAAGTATTATCTTCATCATCTCGATCAACAATAAGCATCATTGAAACGGAACAGAGAGAGAGATAGAGATAGATATCATCGAAAGAAAATCAGCTTAAAGTTACAAATTATCTATGATTAACGATAATAATAGTTAATGAGAACAGTTGATAACAGAATAATAAAAATCCTCTTGAATCAATTCCTTAGTAATCATATTAATCTTTTGAAAATTATTCGAAATCTTAATTATTATCACAATCTTATTAATTTGCTTATTAATTTTCATCAAATTTCGTAGGTTCAACAATAACTGATTGGCTTCCCTTTCATAAGATGGATTCAATTAATCAAATTCCCTTGCTTGTTGGAACGGCAGCTCAATCGATTGAACTTTGGCCTGGAATTGAACAACTTCGTAATTGGACCTGGGATGAATATAAGAAATACGTTACAACTTCATTGGACAGTTTCGGTCCAAATTTAACTGAATTAACTTTACGACTTTACCCAATTCCCGAGAAAAGATCAGAATCAAACAATAACATGGACGATAATACAATTGAAAATTCTGCCATATTAACACAATCCAATTCCAATTATAATAACGATAGTAATAACATCACTGTTAATAATCATCTTAATCATAATAATAGTAGTTCCTCTAATGTTAATAGTAATAATTTAACACCCGAATTGTTATATGCAACAATGGTGTCCGATATAAGACAAAACTGTCCAGTCGATGCCGTTTTTGAACAATTGTCCAAAAAGTGGAAAAATGATATTTATCGATATGTAAGCTCTGGTCAACCTTCGTGCCCTGTAAGTAACAATTAACTGTCATTCATTTATTAATAGATTGATATTCATCCCCTATTGTTGTTGATGTTCAATCCACTAATCAGCTTAACATTTAACATGATTAGCTAATTAATCAAATAAACATGAAGAAAGAGGCAGAAAAAAATATATACACCAATAGATTGAATTAGTTTCACTCTAATTGATTACGAGTAAAGACTGAGAAATATCATTACTCTTAATTGAGTTACATTATTGTTGATTAATTTGGTTAATTATATAAGATGTAATCTAATCTATTGATTAGTAATTACTGATATTCTTGATGACAAATTGCTATCTATTTGTTATCATTATTATTATTATTGTATTAATCTGATCAACATTAATCATTGGCAACTTGTAATTGTATTAGTTATCTAATTGTTTCATTGATTTTGATTTTTTTTCTTCTTCTTTTTAATTATTTAGATTCGTGTTTATGAATATGAAAGTCAATTCAGTTTCCATCTTTGGGATGCAATCGTATTTTTTGACACAATTAATCAATTTATTCATCATCCAAGTTCAGATGATCTTAATTATCGTGATATTGTTCAAGAGATGGTTAAAAATTTTATTTCCAATAACAAATCACTTCTTCCTAAACCATATCCTGGTTCAGTGGCGATTTTATCAGCAATTAATCAAACAATTGTCTCTTCCTATTCAACTGAGAGATGTAATTTCTGGAAAAAGCAAGGGTTAAATTCATACGTTTGGACTGGTTGATTAATACAATCAATTTCTTAATCATTGTGACCATTTCTCCATCTTCATCAATAATCAACATGTTAATTGTTTCATTTTACTTTTGCTCATTCTCTCTCTCTCTCTCTCTCTCTCTTTCTACCAGTGATTAACTTAATTTAATTATTGTACAGTTAACAATTCTTACCATAACAATCATCGTTGTAAACAGAATCAAAGAAATCAACATTTTTGTATAAAATTAATTAATCAAAATCTTACAGTTGTGAACAACAATACAAATTGTAACATAAATAACCCAACAATTTAAATTTGCTCTTCCCTCTTTGAATTCATTTACCTATTAATTACCTTTAATTGTACAAATGATGAAACACAAAATCAAACAAAAATTGTTATAAAAATTAAAACTTTCCCGTTTACAGAAACAAGCACTTTGATAAGTTTAATTAAATTGCGATTTTAATTACAACCATAAGATCATTTTCCGAATCCAATTCAAGTTCGTGTTTGAATTAAAAATAAGTTACAATAAATGATCTTAAGTATTGAAGATTGATTATTTCGCTAAATTACCGGCGACAATTCCACAATTAATCAAGGGTAATAATCGAACAACGTATTCGCAATAAGCTTCATCTATACAGACCTATTCAACTTCACTTTACGCAGATTTTCAGTTATACCACAAACGACCTAACTCGCTTTAAGAATGATCTTATCTAATCGAACCGATATCGCAATACAGTCCCTAAACTAAGCCCGCCTCCAACCATCATCTAATAGTATTTAATGTGAAAACATCAATTACATTTGCAACAATGACTTATGAATTTTGTTCCAATCTTCACTCTGTTCATATTTCCTCAACAGTCCTAAATTCAATTGACTTTACAAAGCTAAAGAAGGAAATGCCTTATCCATTAAAAAAGGTTCAAGTGAAGATGGCCTGTATATGGTTCACCAGAGATACGATAGATATGTTTAACACCAAAACTGATCATGAGATAATTTTTTGTTCTTTTTTTCAAAGAAAAACCTTCAAATGACCTCTAAATGGGTTTATCGTAGAATGACCTCAATGACCTTGAAACTTTCTACACGTTTAATTGTAACGATTAGGTGCAATGAATTGGACAGCTATTCGAGATCTATTCTATTCATTTTTTATAATCATGCGACATCATTACAAAAATTTGCTCTCCACCAAGAGTTTAATTTAATCTTTTTTTGTCTCTGCAGGATTGGTCGATATATTAACCAATGGTTGACTTCTGTTAAGAAGTCAAAAGATTTAAAGTCATATAAACTATGTATTTTCATCACTTTCAGTCATTAACTCTCATCATAATTCACTCATCATTTCTCATAACTCTAATCTCAAATTCTTTCATTATGAGTTCAAGCTAGTCTCGTGAGTTCCCCTTTTTCAACCACGTGTATCGCTCATATTGTTGAGTTTTTTTCAATTATTTCGATCATCCTGAAAATGAAGATCAATATTATAGTGAACTAATTTAAGTGTTTGCAACTCAATGAGTGAATTATAGCCAGAAACAGATACGTGAATTCTTATCCCAGGTTAAATTGATCTTGAGACTTTTCGTATGGGTAACACGTTCATTAGATGAGTTTTTCTTTAAAGGCACAGCTTTAACGGTATGGATTCTAATACAACTTCAACCTCATCTCCATCTTCACCTAATGGAAGGGACTTCGGTCTTTTCGAGGTGGAGAGAGGTGTAAGGCCTGGAAAAAGGTATAAACTTTATCGATTTAATCCAGAAACTCTAAGAAAATGTAAATAGTAATCATCGGAATCAGGATGAATTTAAGATTGAGATTAGGTCCTATCGACTTAAAGCAATTTACAATTTGTAATTATATAAAATGATGGGCAAAAAGCTGCTGATTAAACCCATAAATTAACCTAATTAACGTCAAGTTTTATGATAATTTATTATCAGACCCTGGACTGACGATCATTATGTCAGACCCTTAATATTAAATTATGACATTTATCACATTGATTTGTTGTCAGGTGAAAACGTTTGATCTATGAATCTAGTGCGAAATTTTTACGAATTGGTTATTGCCACTTATTTACAGACCTTATTTTATTTGTTCCAAACTCAATTTGATTTTTTCATCGCCCCAGTTGACCTTTAGATTGTTGTCTATGAGAAAGAAATTGATATTTGGAAAGTTGATTAAAGTTAGAATTGTGATTAATTTTATTGGAAACAATTAAGCTTTAAAGTGCATATATTTTATTTTAATAACTTTTGACTTGTAATAGAGGGAAATAATTATATTTCTTGTCTCCTCAGTGTCTTTCAGGAGAATCAACTGGTTGGTGGGTGAAAGGGAAATGATTTGGTGGGAGGTTGGGTGTATATTATCATTACGATTAGACTTGTCATGGAATAAAAGTTTTCTTGATTTCTTGTCCCCATGTTAGTAATGAATTATTTGCATTTGGGTCTCAGGATTAGAGCGGGAAGATTAGACAAAGAGAGAGAGAATAAGGAGAATAGAATAAAATTTTGAATGCTAGAATTAAATTGTTGGTAAATGGTGAACGAAATTTAGTTAAAGATGAACGAAGGTGAAAATAATCATAATAATAATCAATTATGTTTTCTTGATTAGAGTGAAAAATCCGCGCTTCTTAGGCTCATCTTTAGGGGCTCCACGACCGGCGGGTAGAGTTTGTGATCGTGATGTTTGCTGTTCTGAAGCACTTTGATTAATCTTGTTGATCCAAGAATTCAAGTCCTCAGAATTGGCAGCTTCATAAAGATATTCTCCACCATCAGGTAATTTTAATCTAAATACATTCTTTCGTTTAGTATAATCGGCAGGAATTTCAGCGATTGCTTGCTTGAGATCTACGGGCTTTTCGTTACGAAGATATCTATCTGGTTCTTGTCTGAAATGCTTTTGGTCCTTGAAAACGCACAAAGATGAGCCTCTGAGTACCACATAGGTTCCCTTTTCCCAGGATCTATTGGAGGCTTTTTTGGTTGTTGATTCCCAAACATGTTTACGATTGAGAATAGATTCAAAAACAATATCTTCATCGCTTGTACCAGCCGATGTTCCGGCACGTTCTTTGGATTCCAATTCGGATAAGGCTTCTGAAAGTGGTCCTGCACTTCGATCGGAAACATCTCCTTCACCATCAAGTCGATCGGATGGAGGTTCATCGGGAGAAGGCGTTTTCTGTGCTATTAACTCCGCCAGTTCTTCTTGTCTCCTACGTTCTTCCATTTCTTCTTCTTCTCTACGTTTTAATTCACGCATTTCAAAGGTGGTCAGTCTTACAAGAGCTGCGAATCTTTCCTCTTGGGCAGCTGCGGATTTTTCAAATGCTTCATGTTTCTTAATGAGTTGATCAACTTCATCAATCGTATGTCCAAGTTCACGACTTAACAGGTATGGTTCTTGTGCGATTAGCCAGGCTTCGGCCACTGCTGCATCTCTTGCGAACTGATAAACTTCTAGGATAAGTTGTAAATGATCCCATCTTTCCTCCCATCTTTGCATCATTGAACCTCTTTGATTGTTTAGAATTAACAGTTTATCTGAAATCTCTTCTGAGGCATAATGATTACGTTTCAACAATTCTGTACCCAATTCTATACAGGTAGCGAAATTATCTTCTCGAGCATCAATCTCTGCTTTTAAGCTTTGGTGATTGTTCATAAGTAATTCAACACCAGATACATCTCGAGGTTTCTCCGAGGTGTTCATTTGTCTTACTACATCTTCCATCCAGGCGATCAAATCACGAACCATGTTAAAGAATTTAAAGAGATCACCTGTATCGGCAAGTTTCTGTTTACGAGCCTCACAGTTGTTCAACAACTTGTACCACGAATTGACTACTTCACCTTCCCTACCAACAATATCTCGAGCCTGTTCACCGGCATAAGCAGTTTGAAGTTTAGCTGATTCCTCTTGGATACCCTGTACAGCCGATCGAAGTGTTGCCAGGTCTTTTTCGAAGTTAACATGTTTCCTTTGTAGATTAGATACCGATTGGGCATCTCGTCCCAATTCATCTGACATAGAATTATATTTCTCCTGGATTCGAGTTAAAACATCTTTACAATCATGGAAGAATTTAAATTTCTCCCAAGAAGCTGCAAGTAGTAAATCTCGAGTCTTAATCAATTCTTGAAGGTCATCCCAAGCTTCATTCAAACTATCCTTCCATTCAGCAATCTGCGCCGAATCTGAGTGACCAGCATTGATTAATGAATCAGCTGCACTATTAACTGTTGATACTCTCTCTTTACCAAGGGACTCAGTGTCACGAGCGAATACCTTAAAACGTTCACGAAGTGTTGTAACAAGGTCATAATCTTGTCCCAATTCATGAGAACCTGCGATAACTTCCCTTTCTTGATCCAAAGCATAACATCATCAAACTCTCGACTAAGAGAGTAGAGAGATAATGCTTCGTCCAATTTGGATTGACGTTCGTTGGCTAAATCTTTTAGACCAGCGTAAAGTTTATCCACTTGTGATTGTCGAACAGCTATTTGGTCAGCTTGAGGATGACCTTCAGCAACAAGTTGCCTTGAAGTTTCACCTAGTTGACGAACGGTAGCTGCATAATCTTCAACAGCATTTTCTAGACTTTCGTGTTTCTTCATCAAATTTTGAACACTTGGTTCGTCTTTTCCTCGGTCTTCAACCATCATGTATAACTCTTGTTCACTCATCCAGGCTTCGGCCTCGGATGCATCAAAGTAGTATTGTTGTGCTCTCTCAGATTCGAGGAGTTTATTGCGACGATGATCCATTTTGTTCTTAAGATCCTCCCAATCGCTTAGTAATTCATCAATTAATCTTTCAAATTCAGCTGAATCAGCATGACCATCTTTGATTAATTTATTTCCATTGTCACAAATGTTTTTAATTCGAGGTTCATGATTATCGATTTCAGTTCGAAGTGATTGATTCTTTTTGATCAACATTTGAACGCTGAATAAACTGTTACCATAATCGGTTGAAGTGGCAAGAGGTTCTTTCTCTTTTATCCAGAGTTTCTCATCCTCGACATCTCGTCGGAATTGGAAGGCTTCTTTTTTCTTCATCAATTCCTTCTTCTTTTCTTCCAGAGGAGCTTGAAGTTTCTGGAACTTTTCGACAACAACTGCCTTCTTAGCTTGAATAACTTCCTTTTTAGCTGGATCAATTTTCTCGAATTTACTTGCAATAGCTTCCAATTCATTAAGCTGCTTGGATTTGGTTTCAATTTGTTGTTCAATATTTTGCTGCTTCTGAAGGAAATGATTAACTGTTGTCAAATCTTGACCAGTTTCTGGCTGCATAACTTGACTCTCCAATGATCGCATCCATTCATCGAGCTCATCGTAAGCATGAACACAGAGCTCCTCCTTTTTACCTTCAAACAGACGAGAACCTTTTCTTTGGTAGTCTTTTCAAGGGCATCGAATGAATTTTGTAGCTCATCAAGTTTAGGTTGAATCACATTAATAAGCTCAGGTTTTTCTCTTACAAGTTCTTGACCTCCTTGCATTACATCATCGAGCCTATCCTTATTAGAAGCAATTTCAGCTTCGAAGGCTTGATGACGAGTCCATTTAGAGTGAATTGTTTTAGCGCTTCGGTAAGTTTCATCTTGGGCAATGATGTATTTCTCTTGGATCCAATCTTGTAGCTGCTCAACATTTTGTAGAAACTGTTGGGTTCGAAGTTCATCTTTCAATTTATCGGCATATTCATCGGCTCTTCGGCGATTAGAGTCACGTCTAGCTGCAATATCATCAGCCTTTCTACGAACTTTATCAGCGTTGATGATATTATTTTCACAAAGTGAGTGGGCAAATTTGATGACGGCATTGATTTTCTCATCATTGGCTTCCATTGTTGTTTCGAAAGCATCATGTCTTTTACAAAGTTCTTCTGCTTGTTCAAGACTAGTTGGTGTCTCATCTTTGGATAAGAAGTTTTCTTGTTGACTAAGCAATACTTCTGCTTGTTTGGCGTCACGATAGAACACTTGCAAATTAAGGTTCTGTGACAGGAAGAGCTGTCGGTTTTCATACATTTGATGCAGCTCCTCCCAACCATTCTTCAAGGCTCTTAGTCTCTCTCGGAGGAACATATATTGTGGATCAGTTTGTCCTTGAGTAACTTTCTCTCCATATTCCATCATAGAATTGTAATCTTCGGTGTAATTTCTTATTTCATCTTCAATTTGTTTATGTTGATTTAATAATTTTTCTGCTTCAGCAAGACTTGTGGGTGTATCTTCAGAAGCGACATCAGTCTGAGTCTTTGTAAGCCAAGCTTGGAAGTGATCAAGATCTCGTAAGAAACGATGTAGGTCACCAGCTTCTTCCAATTTAGTCTCTTTGGCCTTTAATACTTGAGTTAATTTATCCCAAACTGAACGTATTTGTGCTGTTCTTTCTTCAATCAATGGAACCTCTTCAGGATGATCACGTCGAATCTTTTCAGACTCATTTTCAAGTGTATTCAATTTATCTTCAATAGCGGCAAGATCTCTTTCCATGCCACTAAGACGTCGTTGTAAGGTCATTATTCCAGTTAAATCATCACCAAGTTCTTCAGTAGCTTGAAGAAGTTTAGTCTTCTCTTCAATCCAGGTAATAGTTTCTCGGCATTCAATATGATAAGTTTGAACTCCATGAGCAGAATCAATTTCTTCTCTCTTCTTTTCAGCCTTATCTCGAAGTTCAGCCCATCTAATGAAACATTGATTGAAATAGGGAGAAAAAAAGTAGACAAGACACAATTAAATGGAGAGTAGAAGAAAAAAAAATACAATAAAGTATATATATTCCGTGAAAGGTCAATAATCTGTATCATATATTGGAAGAGACTAATAATAATATATCACTGACTTTCCTTTTTTTGCTTTTCCTCAATTAATAAACACGCAAGGATCAACCCTTAACAAAACAAAGTCTATGTGTTATGTTTTCCTCTTCATCTAAACCTAACTATTTATAATACTAAACAAAATAATAGTTTCCAGTGTCAAGATGATATAAATGAAATGATAAAATATCCCTTTCTATCATAATATATATTTACTTTATAGAAGATGAATTCAAAACGATTAAGGGTAGAAAACTATCAACAAAAGGAAAATCAATCAAGGTGTCGATATAAACAAAAGCATATCTTTATATTGCCGAATCATGGTTGATTAACTGGTGGGAATAAATTTTTTCTTTCTCTTATTGCATCAAAACAACAAATCAGGATTTGAAATATGAGTTAATCATCTGAAACACAATTTCAAAATCTAACGGTAAACAAAGAAGTGCATAAAGAGAAAGAAAAAAAAACAAGAAAATAATTGTACTGACATAAGCAGAAAGAGAGTTAGACAGAGAAATGATAAAACATTAATGAAATCGCTGATAGAAAGAGGCGAAAAAGATTAGTAATAAAATATAATGAACCATTCAGCTAATACTAAATATTGAGTGTGAAATCATCATCTTGTTGATTAGTTTATATTAATAAGATTCTAAACGGAATGACGTTAATCAATGATTCTATAGATTTATAATTTATCAAGGATAACACTAACACAAGCGAATGTATAAAAAAGTGTTTACCATATCAACAAGTACAATTTATCCGAATTAAGAGATTATTGGTGAATGGATAGAGAAAAATAATAAATTGTTTTAATAAAATACCTTTGGTTTAGCTGATTCTGTCTTGAAACTATCTTTTCAGAGTCTGGATGTTCAACTGCAAGTAATTGTCGAGCGATTTGATTGACAGCGGCCACTTTAGAGGCGTTTGCATTCATTTCTTGGTCAAATGTTTCGAAACGATGTTTCATTACTTCAATATCTTCCATGTCACGATTTAAGCTCATTGAATCAAGCATTTTCTCTTTTTCTGCAATCCATTGTTCAACACCATCGGCTTCAGTAAATAATTTAAATAATGAGATGGCATCACCAAGACGAGATTTTCTCATCTTGGCAAGTTCATTAAGATCTTTGTGACGAGAATCAATTATTGCCAATCTTTCTAATACTTCGGGTGCCTCTCTATCTGCAACACCCAAATTACGGGCTTGCTCTTTAAGACTTTCAATGACAGCTTCGTGTTTTCTCAATTCTTCAGCTGCCTCATTATGTTTCTTTGACAGAGCTTGTGCGTGAGGCTCGTCAAAACCAACATCTTCGCTTGAGATCAATTTAGCTGAATCTAACATGTAAGCGTCGACATCATCAGCATCGGTAAAGAATTGATGATATTCAATTGCCTCTGTTAGACGGGATGTTCTTAATGCTTGAAGTTCCTTCAATTTGTCCCACAAATCTTCAATCTCTTTAATACGTTGACTAATCTCTTCAGAGCCAAAGTGTCCTGCATGAATTAAATCTTCACCAGCACGAATTACATTAAGAAGTTGATGTTCATGTGCACCTAATTCATCTTCAAGAGCCTTATTTTTGCTAATTAAAAGATGGACGGTTGTCAAATCGTGACCAATCTCAGCTGAGGAAAGAATTTGCTCTTTCTCTTTAATCCAAGCCTCTTCTTCTGCCATATCCCAATAGAATTGCCAAAGTTTCTTGGATTCTTCAAGTCGATTTTTACGTTGATCAGCAAGAGCAACTAATTCAGCATAAGATGATTCCAATTTTTTGATGCGATGTTGAATTGCTTCAGGTTCCATTGGTCTATATCCAGTAACTTCAAAGTTTTCAATAAACCTTTTAGCTGATTGGGTATTTAGGCGGACACGTTCACCAATTACATGGATATCAGCCTCTAATAAACTATGCTTCTGGAGTAGGTCAACAACGCCCATGAGATGTTTACCATAATCTGGTGACTCGAAGCGACTTTTGAGAGCTTTCATATCATCTTCAATGTATAACATTTCTTGAAGAGCTTGTTGTAGAGACAAAGCACTTTCCAGGCGAGTTCGCCGATTCTTAAGTAATTCAAGAAGATAATTCCATAGACGTAGAACATTGTCTTTTCGGGCATTAATTCGATCAATATCATGGTAATTTTCAGCTTCTAATTCCTGAGCAACAGCAACAACCGCTTGAACTCTTTCTTCATAAGCAAAGATATCAGTTTCAATTGCTTCATGTTTCTTAGCAGCAGCTTCAACTGCCGGAAGATCATAGCCAAAGTTATCTTGAGAAACCAATCTTTGATTCTCACTCAGCCATGTCTCTCTCATTCCAGCTTTACGATCAAATCGGGCAGCAAGTTGCTCAAGCTTCTCTTGGCGAATAAGTTCTTCTCTTAATGCCAATTCTCTTTCATGTTCAGCTTTCTCTAACCGCTCCCAGGCTTTGTTGACATCAGAAATCATTTTACCTTCTTTTGGTGTATAAGCTTTCTGATTATTTGCTCGCATCTTTGATTGAAGAGAAAATAATAACATTTCCAGATTACTTTTTTCCTCAAATTTCTGAGGTTTCTCAATAGTTCGGTAATTGTTAAATTGGAGAAGTTGTTGTTGAACACCTTGTAGACTGTTGGTAAACTGTCGATCACCAAGGGTATCAATTGTTTCTTCAATCCATTTCAATAGGTCAGAGGTCAATTTTTCATAGTCATCAACCATTCTATCGGTTTCCATGGCTTCACCGACAACTTTAGCAATTCGACGACCTTGTACAGTTTCTGCCTTCATCTTGGAGAAGTAGTGGTAATAAGTTACTACATAGGTAATGATAGATTTCTCATCGGGATTATCGGTGTAAACATCTTCAGCGTCAAGTAGTCTCATTAGACCAAGCTCTTTTTCGGCAACATTGAAAGCATTGTTGAGATTGTGAATAGGATTGGCTTTGCTTAATTTGTCATATTGGATGAGATCAGGACGATGTTTATGAATGAGAGCATTAAATGCTAACCCATCCCTCCAAGAAGTTGTAAAGTTTCGCACATTGACACTATGATAGCCGGCAGTTTTCATTTGACACCATAAAAGAAGTGCATCTTTGGCAGATTTTGTTTCCTGGTTGTCAACCTCTTCAACCATAATATCTTGAATTTGGAATCTAAGGATAATTGTCCAAATTAAACCAAGAGTTAATCTTGAATTACCATCGACAACATCATGAGAGCCCATATTTTCCAGGTGAACTCGTTGTTCTCTCAAAAGAAATTGTAAAGCTTTGTCAACATTTTCTAAACAATGAATCCTCATTTTACCCTTTGTTGGTTTGGGTAGACGTTCACCTGATAAAATTTCTAACAGTTTGAGTAACATTTTACCATCACGTAAATCAACGTATAGATCATTAATGCGGCAGTTAGCTCGAACTAGGTGTGAGTTGACCCATTTAGTGAAGGTCTTTTTCTGTACTGATTCTCTTTCATCTAAAGACAGATAAAAAGATACACAAAGAGAAAGGAAAGAAAGTAGATAGAAACAAAAAAAAACCATATTAGAAAAATAGGGTAAAAATTGATAAAATAGACGAAAAAATAATTATTGATTATCTAAAAATATACAAAATGGAAAAACAAGACAACATACCAGCTAATGCTTTGATTCTTGATCTTTCAAACAATCTGGACGAAGAGTTTCCACCATCGTATTCATAATCTTCCATGAGAATTTCTTGTTGGGTCACCGGGTCCCAACGGGGACCAACCGAAATATCGGTAGTCATTTTTAATTGTTTTAACCTTTAATTAACTTCAGGTATCACAAGTAAATCAAGCAAAGACTATTGAAGAAGAAGAAGAAAAAAAACAGAAAATATGAAAGGGAGAGAGAAAAAGAAACAGACATTCAGTGATTGATGTATACACTTTTCTATGTGAATTATTGGAAATAGATACAAGGGGGTTAGGGGAAAGGTGGGTAATAAAAAATAATTAGACAATATGAGAGAAGAAAATGTTATAATTACCAGGTAACAGAGAGACACAAGAAAAAAAACAGGTTAAAATTCACACTTAAATCTAATCAATTTGATGGTCACGCCTGGAGAAGTGATGATGATGATCCAACCATTGGAAATATGAAAGAAACAATCAGACGAGAGAGATGGATTAATGTCGATTAAGATACCATTGTCAGGGGGAGAAGGAAGAAAATGATGATGAATAAAATGATAGAGGAAAAAAAGAAATGAATAAGATGGGCATGTCACACATAAATAGAATATATATATAAAACAGAGAGATAGAATTTAAAACAAGTATAGCAATAGAAGTAGATGAAGATGAAGAAGAAAAAAATTCTACGGCAGTGAAAAGGCAAAGAGAACAAGAAGAAAAAAAAGGTTGATTAAACAATTGAATAGAATTTAAATTGGTGAAAATAAAATGATAACAATCCAAGGGTTGATTGGGAATTAGAGATGAGATGATGAACCAAATTATCCAATATTATTGTCCCAATATAATTAATCTGAAAGATTTAAGCTTGGGTGTGGCCGGTACATTACAAGGTTACAGGAAGATTTTTTCATTCACTATAACATATACAAACATGATATTTTTCATACATAAAAACTTAATAGAGATGATGATGAGTAAGAAAGAGAGAGAGAGAGAGGAAGAGAAAGAAAAAAGAATGGGAAGAGAGAGAAAAAAACAGAAAGAAAGAGAAGAAAAAAATAGAATAGAATAGAAAATAGAAGAGAATAGAAAAAGACTTTACCTGATGATTGGAAAATAATTTTTCGATTGTAATCCAATTGTATCAATTAAATTATTTCTAATTCGAGAGACAGAGTTGATCATGTAAAGGGAATGATTAATTGTTGATGGTTAAAGATGATCAGTTAATTGGCGCTTCATGAATAGTTAACTTTAAACAACCGATTCTCATTTAGAGTTTCAACTCAATGAGAGAGAGAGAAAAGGAAAAGAGAAAAAGAGAGAAAATGAAAGAGAGAGAAAAACAGAGAGAAAGGTAACCTTGTATCTCTTTCTAACCTCACCCAATTCTCTTTCTTTTTCTCTTTCTTTAGTCGCTATTCATCTGCTTCCAATTAACTTATTATCTCAATTTTGTGGTTCCATTGTTTTAATCATCATCGTAACCATCATCGTCTCTCTCAATTGTTAATCAACAATTAACGATTATTTCCATTTTTCTTACTCTTTTATTACTCACCAATTGTTTTCATTTTTCCATTTTCGTTTTAATTGTAAACTATTCATCAACAATTAACTCTAACCTTTCTCTTCACTGACAGAATTATTTCTCAGAAACAAAACATCAAATTTAATTACAATTCTTTCCGACTAATTAACCGTCTTTCTGTTTACATTTTAATTGATTCATTTTAATTGTCAAAATTTGACCCGAAAATCATTAGCCAAAGATCAATAAGTGAGTCGATTTAATCGGCTTAGAATTTTCTCTCTTTTAGTTACAATAGAAATCGATAGATGTCACTAGTTTTTATTCCAAGCCAATCAACTGATCGGTCAATCTAATTGTCTTCATGTGTTTTTGATTTGATTTAAATTTGTTTGTTTCGTTTTAATTGTTCATTATGTCATCGGGATTTTTTAGAGTAATTAATAGATGGAAAGTTCCTGTTGTGATTTCCTTTACTTCAGCTTATGTAGCTGTTGACACTTATCGTATGAAAATGAGGAAAGAATCAGAAATTTGTGTTAATTTAAATGGTAAACCAGTGATTGGTGTTCTTGGGTAAGGTAATTTGATTTATTTGTGTTGATTGTTCACTTTAATTAGTTTAATTTTGATTTAATTTACATTTTCCAGAGATGTACCATGTGTATCACCCAAATTACAAGAGATAATAGATGATGTTAAATCAACATTAAATCTACCCCAATCCAAGAAGAGTGTATTGAATTACTATGTGACTCCTTATCCGAAGCCAATAATTAATGGTTACTATTCATCTTATTCAACCATTGATGTATTTTTACCTGATTATTTAAACATCTCCAGTGGTGAACAATTAACTGCATTAGCCATTTGTAATATCATCGGATTAATGGGTGAAAACTTTGAATCACTAGCAGCGGATGATTGGTTAACCCCGGATGGTAAATCTTTCATCAATTCTTTCCTTCTCAGTGAAAGAGCAAAGAAATACCTGGTCACCCAAACATCTTATTCAAATCTAAATCCTGAATATCATTTGAAATATATTGTTTTCTCCCTGGTATCAGCTGTATTTCTCGTTTGCATGGCCATGGTTGATGAAAGAGCTAAAGGAGGTATCGCTAAAATTGGTCTCCTTCTATTGTTGGCCATTCCAATGGGTTTACTTAAGAATTTACTTTCTGGTCATTCTCGACTTTTATGTGAATCAAATGGAGTCGCTCAGGCGATTTCGAGGAACATGTTAACTTGGAGAGAAATGATTAAAACCCAAGATGAATCGCTAATCGATGAGGAGATGTTACTTGGAGCATTGGAATATTATTCTAAATTACTTCAGAGGAACAAAGCTTCTTATAGATTATTTAGTTCTGGATTTAGAATCTCTAGAATTTTAAATGATGATGGTGAAGATGTTAATCCATTCAACTTAGAATTACCTAGAGCTGAACTTATTAGACAATTACAAAGAATTCAAACTCTATTGAATTCTAAAAAATCACTTGATAGCTCATCAAATGTTGATTCTCAATGAGATTCAATTAAATCAACTGTTTTCATAGTTTAATCCAAACTGTAGATTTACAATTTGTTACCATGGAAATAAATGGCAGCGAGTTTTTGATTTTTCGCTAATATTTATTATTAATTCTCACCAAGAGTTGATTAACCTCTAAATATGTTTTCTCCCACCAATTGATTGTAATTGTGAGAATTATTTGATAAACAATTAAGTTCTTTTCTTCCTTTTTTCTCATTCTCAATTTTTCCAATTCCGTTGACATTGAACTTTTCAGCAATCAAATCAATGAGAATTTGTGAGAGATATGAGAAGGAGGAATATCAATTTATCTGTTAATTGTTGTACGATTGCACACGAAGATATTTAAGTGATACATTTGGTTGACTGTTGATCATAAATTGTCGATAATTTAATCCGAATCAGAGTCGTAATTAAGTGTCCCAATTGCTTTAACATCGTAACTGTTTTTGCTATTAGAACTTTTAACTTTTCCAGTTACAGTATCAACAGAATTAATTAGATTAGGTTTAGTTTGACGATTGTGTAATTGCTCCTCGATTATTTTAGTTAATTCAGTTACACTGATTCGTTGATCATCCGGTTGATTGTCAACATTATTCAATATTGTGGTTGAATTGAATCTACCAGTTTCCAAATTGTCTCTATGGTTGATGTTGACATTTTTATCTGATTTAGATGTTGATTGTGCCTTTTGATTGTCATAATTAATTTCGTCTTCACTTTCATCTGAATCAAACCATTTTAAATCAGCAGTTGATAAATGATCATCAAGAGTTAAAGCCTTTGAGTGTCTAGGCTTAGGTAAAGGAGGAATTGGGTCATATTGTTGTAGATTAATTTCAACTTTTTCTTGTGATTTATTAGATGAAATTGATGAATGAGAATCTTTTTCATCTTCAATTGTTTCCAATGATGAATTTAATTGTTCAACCTTTAGGTCTTTATCTGGTTCCATTGGTGCTGTTTGAATTTCACTGGACATCATTTGATCAAAATCGTCGTCATCACTTGAATATTCTGGACTAATTTCAATTCGAGTATCACTGAAACTGATTCGTCTTTGTGGTTCTTTCCAATTTGAATGGTTACCAATTCTATTTCCTTCAGCATCTCTACGAATTAGAACTGATTTAGGTTCATGAAATTGTCTTTTAATTGCTTTGTCTTTATTGATTTGAGTTTTTCGACTTTCATCCAATTCTCGAATAGTTATCCCTCCAAAATGAACTCGAGTTTGTTTCTCTTGTTTCTCTTGTTGTTTTTGTTGATGTTTCGATGAAGTTTCTTCTAAACTGTTCTTAGCAATTAACCAAAGTGATTTGGATGTTGGTCTTTTTGAATCGGCATTTAATTGCGCCAAAGTTTGTCCAATCCCGCGAGTTCGTATCTCGTAATCAATTGCGTCTTTTAATGAATTAACTTTCTCCTGAAACCATTTCGTCGACGTCTCTCCTTAATTACCTTCATTGCCTCAACAAATTCACTGCTTCCGATGTTAATTTTATCCTGGATTCCAAGAGCCTCCATGTATCTATCCAGGTAAGATAGAACTTGATTTCCTTGATTCTTTTGGTAATCTATTTCTTCATCATTATCAAAATCATCACTTTGATCTGATTTATCGGAACGCGTTTCCTTTGGCATTGGCGATGAACCGATTAAACTTCCTGACTTAATCCTTTTGTCTCTAAGCTTAACCAGATCACTTGTTGAATTATCATCAACCTTTTGTGTCAAATTTTCCTGACTATTAACGGAATCATTGGACCACAGTTTGTCGACTAATTTTTCCAATCGAACACCAAGATTACGAACTTCTTGAGTGTGAACCATCAACAATTCAGTTAAATCTTTAGGTTCATCCAAATTTGAAGCCATTCCTTCAGATTGTAACTGTTCATCATCATCCTCATAATTACTCTGATCATGAACATCAATTTCTGTTACCCTTTGAACATTTAGGTCTCTGATCATTTGATCATTTTGATTTTTCTTATTACGATTGACTAGTTGTTCAACAGTTTCATCGTTTTGATTCATTTTCAACAGTGAAGTTAATTGTTTCACCTTGACTTCCAATTCTGAATCCATTCGCTCCTGTAAAGCAAGTCGAGATTGTTTCTCTTCGGTTAATTGTTTCTCCGTCTTTTTCAATTCGTCCTTTAGAATAGTCAATTCTTTCTTTACATCATCAACAGCACCATTTGATGGAATCAGAGCCGATTGGTATTGATTAATTCGTTGGGTCAATGGGAATAAACCTTTCGATAGAATTGAGTTTTCCGGATGACGACGATAGATGTGACTTTGAAGATACATTGAATTACCGAAAGCTTTTGGACAATCAGGGCATTGGAATAGGAGAGAAGAGTCAGAATTATCGGTTTCAGAATTGATGGAACGAGAAAAAGTTGCACCAAAGGTGAATGCTTGTTTGTAGACACCAAGTAATTTGCGTAATTTCCGATTCTCCTCAACAATATCCTTCACTTTGTCAACTTTGTCTTTCAAATTCTCATATTGATTGTAATAAATTTCCAGTAGATAGGCGATCAAAATTTGGCTCAATTTAAATAGTTTGACAAAATTGGTGTCGACCGAATGTAAGTCCTGGTGAAAAGAAACACAACAATTGAACATTTCAGAACTTTAGACCATTTTACCGGAAGAAGATAATCAATCAATAAGAATAGAAAATAAATTTTAAACGTTGTACATACAAATTCGGAATCGATGAACGAATAGGCGATCATTGGACCGATTTCGGAGATTGGCCACCGATTAGAATGAAGCTCCGATTCAAATGTATTCACATCAATGGCTGACAATTTACGCCAATCAATTCGAGTCAAAGTTTGACTTGGCATTTTATAAGGTGAGAAAAAGGAGAATCTAAAGATTCAATTAAAAAAAAGGAAGAGAAAAGATCTGAAGAGAAATACCAGGAAATTAGAAATCAATAAAGTACAAAAGGAAAATTGATTCGAAAAAAAGAAATGACAATTAGATGGAATATCCAATCTAACCGAACATAAGAAATTGAGCCTTCAACCATTGGAATTAGAGTGATTTCACTTACGCTGATAGAACGGACTGAAGAAAATGAAAATTAATCAATGAAAGATTAAATTTAATCCACAATTGCAGAATCAAGTTCACTTATTGTCACCATAATTGTAACTATGATTTGTTTTTGTTTTGGTTCCTCTTTGGTATCCGAGGAGATTCAACTTGACAATATCACAAAGAACCGACATCATGATAACTTTACATGGAGTAGAAGATTAGAAGAAACAAAGAATTGATCAAAGAATAGAATTTAAATTGTGTTTAAATGGAATCAGAATAATCCAAGTGCTGATTAGCAATTAAACTAATTAAATATTAGAATCTGATAGTTGATGATATTGTATAAATAATAATAAGGAAAAGAGACTTTACCTGATGATTGGAAAATAATTTTTCGATTGTAATCCAATTGTATCAATTAAATTATTTCTAATTGAGAGACAGAGTTGATCATGTAAAGGGAATGATTAATTGTTGATGGTTAAAGATGATCAGTTAATTGGCGCTTCATGAATAGTTAACTTTAAACAACTGATTCTCATTTAGAGTTTCAACTCAATGAGAGAGAGAAAAGGAAAAGAGAAAAAGAGAGAAAATGAAAGAGAGAGAAAAACAGAGAGAAAGGTAACCTTGTATCTCTTTCTCTATTACCTATTCATCCTCTCCCAATTAACTAATTGTCTCTAAATCATCAGTTAATTGTGATTCCATCATCAACTTGAAGATCCAGTAGATGTCACTACGAACGAGTATTGCAACATATGATTGGAAACACATGTAATCCTCAATCTCGTGTTGATTGTTTTTCTTTTATTATGGTTAATTGTAATTAGATTTGTTGATTAATGGAACTTTTTTTTACTCTATTTAGGTTGATTAAGTGATTCTCTATTTGGTGATCAGTTGAAAATGATCATTTCACGGTTTAGAAATTTAATTTCTCCTTTTAATTGTAGTCACATTTACCGGGTAAGTTTCGTTTGATTTTCTGTTGACATTTTTTTCTTTCTTGAAATTAGAATTTATTATTTTCTTATTAATTGTGTATTTTGTTGTATTGTTTAGGTTTCGAAAAGGTTTGCAAGTAATCCACGTTTTCAAGAATGGAAAAATGTTGAAGATATTCGCAATATCGGTATTTCGGCTCATATTGATTCTGGGAAAACAACGTTAACTGAAAGGTTATTGTTTTATTCTGGTAAAATTGATGAGATGCATGAGGTTAAAGGAAAGGATAAAGTTGGTGCTGTTATGGATAGTATGGAATTGGAAAGAGAAAGAGGAATTACCATCCAATCAGCTGCTACTTATGTTCTATGGAAGGGAAAAAATATCAATATTATTGATACTCCAGGGCATGTTGACTTTACGGTTGAAGTTGAAAGAGCTTTAAGAGTTCTTGATGGGGCAGTTCTGGTTCTTTGTGGTGTTGGTGGTGTTCAGGCTCAAACATTTACAGTAACACGACAAATGGCTCGTTACAATATTCCAACAATCAGTTTTATCAATAAATTAGATCGTAGAGGAGCTGATCCATTTAGAGTATTAAAACAAGTTCGAGAGAAACTTAATTTTACAGCAGCTTTGACACATATTCCTATTGGAATTGAAGATAATTTAAAAGGAATCATTGATCTGATAGAGGAGAAAGCAATTTACTTTGATGGGCCAAATGGGTAATAAAACAAGGATCGATCATTTGTCCGTTAGTTGGCCTCATCTGTCAATTTTTATTCTAATGATTTGAATATTTGCGTTTTTACTTTAGGGAAAAGGTTCGATATGATGAAGTGCCAAAAGAAATGAGAAGCGAAACTAATGATCGAAGGCAAGAATTGGTGGAAAATGTATCGAATGTAGATGATTTATTAGGAGAAATGTTCTTAGAGGATAAAACGCCAACGAATCAAGATATTAAGGTGATTAATTGTTGACTTGATCTCGAATTTGATTTACTCAATCAACTCTTCTTTTCCTTTAATAGGCTGCAATCAGAAGGAATGTAATTGCAAGGAAATTTGTTCCAGTCATTGTTGGTTCAGCGTTAAAAAATAGAGGAGTTCAGCCTCTCATGGATTCTGTTATTGAATATCTACCGAATCCTTCTGAAGTTCCCAATTATGCTTTTAGAGAAAAGGCTGACGGCAGTGAACCTGATAAAGTTTTATTGAATCCCGCTCGTGAAAAAGGTCATCCCTTTGTTGGTTTAGCGTTTAAAATGGAACAGACAAAATTTGGCCAATTGACTTACATTCGAACTTATCAAGGAAACGTTGGCAAGGGTGACATCATTTTTAATGTTCGAACAGGTCGTAAGATTAAAATACCTCGATTGGCTCGAATGCATTCAAATAACATGGAAGATATTGAGGAAAGTTTCGCTGGTGACATTTGTGCCTTTTTCGGTGTTGAATGTGCTTCTGGTGACACTTTTGTCACTGATCCTAGTCTAAAATTATCAATGGAATCGATTCATGTTCCAGATCCTGTTGTTTCAATGGCCGTTAAAGTAAAAGACAAGAATCGAGTTCAAAATTTTACCAAAGGTATTACTCGATTTGTTAAAGAAGATCCAACCTTTCATTATGTTTGGGATGTTGATTCAAAGGAGATGATCATCTCTGGAATGGGTGAACTTCATTTAGAAATTTATGGCCAACGAATGGCCAATGAATACGATTGTCCAGTTGAATTGGGTAAACCAAAGGTTGCCTTTAGAGAAACATTAATTGCTCCATGTAAATTTGACTATTTCCATAGAAAACAGTCTGGAGGTGCTGGTCAGTTTGGACGAGTTGTCGGTATTCTGGAGCCAATGGGTTCACCACGGAACACTGAGCTCATCTTTTCACCCGAAATCGTTGGTAACAATATACCAAAGCAATTTTTAGCCTCCATTGAAAGAGGTTTCCGAATGATGTGTGAAAAAGGTCATCTAACGGGAAACAAAATTCGTGGGGTCAGATTTCGTTTAAAAGATGGACAAAGTCACAGTGTCGATTCCAATGATATCGCTTTTGCCTGTGCCGCTGTTGGAGCAATTAAACAAAGTAACTTTTCAACTTTTTCTTTCAATCAACAATCAAAATTCAGAAAAAAATTCATTCTAATTTTCCAATTTCTTTCCTTTCTCTCTTCAATATCTTTTAGCTCAAACACTCGGTAAATGGCATCTAATTGAACCAATCATGAAAATCGAAGTGACCGTTCCTTATGAAGATAGTGGGTCAGTTATCGCTGCAATTTGTAAACGATTTGGTGTCATTACCAACACCGAGGAATCATCTGGATACATGGCAATTTCAGCTGAAGTAAATTACGCTTTCGTTATTAACACGAATAAACTTGTTAACTTCTATCAATCAATTAACTTACAATTCTAATTAGATTAGATTAGATTTAATTAACAAATATTCATTCACTTATTATAAGTGTTTCCCAATAACCTCAGCTAATTACAAGTTGAATACAATTTCTTGATTTTCACTTTTATACACTTCGCAACTAACCTTAATTTGATCAACTTTTGTCTGTTTTTGTACTTACTTTCAGACAAGGCTTTTCTTTTATTAGAAAATGATTTAATCATGAAGGTTGATTAGCAATTAGTAATTTGAGAAATACATAAAAATTTAGTTTAAGGATAGAATTGATAAAATTCAATCTTATCATCTAATCATTATCTTAAATTGATTCTCAGTTTTCACTTTTTAGTTGCTTGTCAAGTTTTTTTTCGCATTTTCTGGTTTCTTTATTTTTCTGCCTTCAAATGATATTAATAATTTCAATTTTCTTTAAAAAGAATCATTAATTAACTAATTATTTCACAATAATCTTGTTTTTCTCATCATCTTTAGGCTCCTCTTAGTGACATGTTCGGATTTACCACCGAGTTAAGAACCTTATCCCAGGGAAAAGGGGAATTCACCATGGAATATTCTAAATATGCTCCAGTTCGAGGTGATGTTCAACAAAAGTTAATGTCTCAATATAACGATAGTGAACCCGATTCGCACTTGGAAAGAAATATTATATTATAATAGAAATTTTTATTATTAGAGAATAAGTTTCATTTAATTTGTCTTTGTAACTTGAAGAGATTGATTAAATTAATTGTTCTCTTTTGTTTTTTCCATTAACGTACTTACAAGTTCATCATTGACAACGTTAATTATCATTTGTCATAACCTCGGACAATTGTTGTGATGGTAACAAGATATACATTTAATAATTCAACAATCATGTTATCTGATTAACTTATCATCAGTAGCATCGTAAATATAAGTGTTTCCATTAATCAACTGATTAATATAATCAAATGATTTAAAGAGTTTTTCTTTTCGCAATTGATTGTTTCACTTATTCACCTTAATTGATATAATTTTCTCATGATTGGTAAATAATATCAAATTTATTAGAATAAAAATGAAAAGAGAAACAAATTACTACGTATTAGATTAACAATCAAAACAAAAAAAAACTCTTGTTAACCCAATTTAATAAGGTTGTGTTAATTTTTTATAATCACGCTTGTTAAATTGTTCAACCTTGAAAATTTTGTTTCAGTTTCAGCACTTTTTAGTTATCAACAATGATTACAATTTTTGTTTAAATGAACAAAATCAGAAATGATAATCAACAAAAAAAGGTAACATTTTTGATAATCATGATTTGATCTGATTTTTCTGATGAAATGATTGATTTCTGCCTCTTAAATGATTGTTAAATTGGTAAATTAAATATATAGAATGATAATTAAAGTGGTAAATAGTTTTGGTAAGATGAAAAGTATTACGATGTAGTTAATTAATGTGTGAGTGATAGTAAATATATATTATATTGCAGTTTGTGTTGATGGACCAAGTGAGAAAAGCTAAAGCAATTGTTTTTTTCATGGCTTAGTAAGGTACCATGGTTATGTTATGTATTAATATTTTAATTACATCGCCAATTTCATCAATTAGTTGATTAACTGTTAAGAATTAGGCACTTTAATGTGTGTTTTCTTGTTGTTATCCTTCGCTTGATTGCTCCGCCATTTTTTTTGAGGTGTTTAAATTTAGTGATAGTTTGGTGTTTTCGATGAATTGGTAAAATGTATGAGAGAAAGAAGCAGAATCATTTTTGTGTCTTTTTCTGCTTCAGACATTTCAATCTATCTCATCACCATGAATCCTCGTATCACATAGGGAAGCATATGGAAAGAGATTGCAAAGTTTGATTTGTTAGTATGTGTGTGTGTTGGTTGATTGGTGTAGGTTGAATGATTACATATATTTATGATTAATATAATAAATATTGTCACAAAAAGGTAAAGTATTTTTATATGTTCTTCTAAATTGCCAATCTAAGTTCTATTTTGGTCAAATTTGGATCTAAGAAATAGATGAGAAAAGAGAGAAATGATAAAAATGAATTAGCTATGGTTTCGGGTTTTTTTTGCTTTGTTGATATAAAAACAAGAGATGAATTGATTTGGTTTTCTTGAGGATGAACGAAAGATTAGTTCAAATGGACTGGATGAATGAGAGAGATAATAACAAGAAAGAGAATAGAAAAAGAAAAGGGTGAGAGAGTTAATGATATCGACTGTAATCAGAGCAATACAATTGTACCAATAATTCACTTAACGGTAAAGAGAGAGAAAATGAAATGATTGATGATGATGATGATGTAATAGTAAAGATAATCTTGAAAAATCTACAGGTAATAGATTCAATTACCAGGTGAGAAGAATAAATAATTTCTTTTCTCTCTCTCTCTTGTTTCTCAATCAAGATAATTAAAGAGTGAAAATATAAGCTGTCATACCTTTCTCATTTGTTTAACTGGTAACGATGGAGACCTTAATGTAGGTGCAATTGATTCACTATTCTCATTATTATTAGATGATTGTTGTTGTTGATCATTGATACTTGTTGCTAATGGAGGTGTATTGGTAATGTCCATTTGCTCAATTGTTTCACATAAAAAGGGTGCACAACTTTGAGAATTTGCAGGTATCGATGATGAAAATGTATTTCTACGTGGTGACCTAGAGGTTTGCTGATTCATTTTATGAGCGTCATCTAATAGGGAGGGAGCAACATAGGTAAAACCAAGGAAGGATCGATTGAAACTTTCACTGATTGACGATTCATCTGGACTATCAATTGGTGGTTGACGAGTAAACCTTGTATCAAATAATGATGTATCCTCTTCACTTGTTAACATTGGTTTAATTGGTGGTTCACATCTTTTGGCAAGAACATCTTCCCAATTAACATTGGAAAAAAATGGATGCCTTCTAATTGGCTCGGCATCTTCAGTATTTGAGCAAAGCCTAATTTGGGGTTTTCGTTGTAATAATTTACGAATTAAATCTTTAGCATCGGGTGTAAGGTATGGTGGTAAAATTAGTTTGCCTTTCAATATTTTATCAATTGTTTTACGCCTTGAATCAGCTGTAAATGGTGGATGTCCAACCAACATATCATACATAAGAGCACCTAAAGACCACCAATCGACTCCTCTTGCATGTCCAGTTCGAGTTAATATTTCGGGTGCCATATATTCAATGGTTCCACAAAAGGTATGAGTAATCTTGTCATTGTTAAGTGTCTCTTTACAAAGACCAAAATCAGTCAATTTAATGTGTCCTTTAACATCTAAAAGTATATTCTCAGGTTTAAGGTCTCGATAAATGATACCACCTCGATGAAGATGTTCCAAGGCAAGAACTATCTCAGATAGATAGAAACATGCGGTATCTTCCAAGAAAATACCTTCCCTTTCAAGGTGCATAAAAAGTTCACCGCCAGAAAGATATTCCAAGATAAGATATAACTTATTGCCCGTTTGAAATGCGTAAATCAGGTCAACAATAAATGGATGTTTAACTGATTCAAGAATACTTCGTTCAGCCTTGGTATGAGCAGTATCCTTTTGACTTCGGCATAAAGTTGCCTTTTTAAGGACTTTCATGGCAAATATTTTCCCGCTCTCTTTACCATTAATTTTACGAACCTGGAAAACTTTACCATAACCTCCACGACCAAGAACTTTTAATAGTTCAAAATCTTGTGGTCCAGTTTTTTCTTTACCAACATTAACCGTATGTTCATTTAGTTGAACCTTTTCCATGTCAGCATCTTCTAGGATAGCACTCATGTCCGGTTCACTTATCTGTGAGTCACCCAAGGGAGGTAAAAGAAGCATTTAGAAAAGAAGAACAAGAGAAAAGGTAAAAAGAACAAGAAAAAGTTGGAAAGAAAAAAAAAACCAGAAGAAAAAAAGAAAATGAAAGGAGTAAAAGGGTAAAATCTGAATGTTGTGAGAATGGAAGAGAGAGAGAGAAAAAAGCAAAAGAGAAAAAAAATTCTAAATGAAATATGTTACCTCCTGATCATCAACATCAATGGAATCCTCATCAGAATAATCATCCTTTGAGTTGGCCTCATTCAGTTCTAAATCAAAGACACCAGCCATTTCTTATTTCGTGAACAAACGTAAAAAAACACGTAAATACAATAAGAACTGGAGTCAATTTATCAACAACCGACACGAAATTAAAAAAGACAAACAGAATTCAGGAAGATGAAAACTGAATCGAAATAGAATTTGATTAAAATCGATTGTTGGAAAATCGTAGGAAAAAAGAAAAACAAATGAAAGAGAAAAAAAGAGAAACCGATTAATTGGAATCGATTTCGAAAAGAGAATCTAATGAATCGAATGTTTATTTTCGAAAATCGAACGTCAATTTGAACAAATTAGAAAAGCGAATCGAGTCGATTCGTGTTAATTCAGCCGATGTTTCAACTAATCAGTTAAGCTGATGGTTTGTTGTCATAAGTAACAAGCTTAGTTTATTCAATTCAAATGTTAATTGCACTTTGCTATTTGTTTAATTGTTCCTCTTTTTTTGTTAATTGAACAATTTGTTTGTTTAATTGGTTAATTTGTTCCGGTAGATTCAGTTTAGAATCTGAAAAATCTAAGCTTCTATTTTTTTTTCTTTCATAGCAAACATTTGATATTTTTAGCTTTTTCTATTCTTGGTGATGGATCAATTTACCATTTGGCTTATTTATTAATCATCGGTAAGTTTTACCTCCAATTTTCATGCTAAAAATTGAATTAATTGATTGGTTATTATTTTCCATTTATTTAGAAGCTTAACTGGTCCAATATTTATCATGGAAGAGGAAAAGTCTCTTAGGTTAACTACGTTCTTTGGCCAAACAATTGAAATACCTAATAATCAGCTGGTAAGTTTGGTAGAGCTTTAGAAATTTAATATTTTATTGTAGAATTTTGATTTTTTGTTCTTTTCTCTTTTCTTTCTCAAGGCTGGACTATCAAGATCAATCCATGAATTTGATAAACTTGATAGAGTTGGAGAAGGAACTTATGGAATCGTTTGTGAGTCTCTAAGTGAAAATAAAAACGTTTCGAATTGGAGTCTTTTCTATTTTTTTCGTTCGTTTTTGTTTTGTCATGTTAAAAATAGATACTAAACATATTCGGCCTCTTCATCATAGATCGAGCTAAGGACAAGATTACAAATGAAATTGTGGCCATCAAAAAGATTCGAATGGAAAGAGAAAAAGATGGAGCACCGATCAGTGGTATTCGTGAGATTAGTATTCTCAAGAATGTTCGACATGAGAATGTTGTCCATTTGAAAGACGTTGTCGTCGGTCGAAGTCTAGATTCAATTTTCTTGGTGATGGAATATTGTGAACAAGATTTAGCTTCTCTATTGGACAATATGCCAAATACATTCTCAGAAGCTCAGGTAATAAATTGAATCTACTCGTGTCAAACTAATACAAAAACTCGTATTAAGATAGTTCTCTTTCAATCTTTCACTTTCATCTTCTAGATAAAATGTATAACTATTCAACTTTTCCGTGGACTTGCTCATCTTCATCAAAATTTCATCGTCCATCGTGACCTGAAAGTTTCTAATCTCCTATTAACCGACAAAGGTTTCGTAAAAATCGCCGATCTCGGGTTAGCACGTAGATGTAGTGTTCCAGCTCAACAAATGACACCTCAAGTGGTTACCCTTTGGTATCGAGCTCCTGAACTATTGTTACAATCAAAGATACAGACAACAGCTATCGATATGTGGGCAGCGGGTTGTATTCTTGGGGAGCTTTTCCTTCATAAACCAATGTTCCCTGGTAAAACTGAGATTCATCAACTGGAATTGATTGTTGATCTTCTTGGAACACCCAATGATCAAATTTGGAACGGATTCTCTGATCTTCCAGTTCTTCGTAATTTTAGCCTTAAAAGGCAACCTTATAATAACATTAAACATGTTTTCCATTGGTTATCACCGGCGGGTCTTCGGATACTCAATTTCCTCTTCATGTATGACCCAACTAGAAGAGCAACCGCTGAGGAAGCGCTACAAAGTTCTTACTTTAAAGAGCAGCCACTTCGTAAGTTTCCCTAAACCGATAGATTGTTATCCTTTTCCTGAAATTTTCTAATCAAATTATCTACATATTGGAATTGATATTATAGCCTGTGAGCCCGAAATGATGCCATCATTCCCTCAACATCGAATCCGTCGAAAGCGGAATATTAAATGATTCCAAAATCCAGACAAACGGAAGAGGAAGAGGAAGCGGAAGAAACTAGAAAAAAGGAAAATAATATTTATTTTCTTTACTAAATTGTTTCATTTCCTTTCCATGATAAATTTTATACCAGAACGAGAAACGAAGCGCAAAAGTATATTGGAGAAAACAATAATTCTCAATGATTGTCAACAATCAACAGATCGATAACATTTTACCTGTGTCATGATCTAATGAATTACTAGATTAATCATTGAAATTACATGGAAACAAAAGACAAAAGGGCAAATCGAAACAAAAGTTTCTAAACCGGAATGATGGGAAATAAATTTCGATTGCCGGTTAATTAATGATAATAATAATTAATTTTCTATTACCAAAACAAATCGAGTAAAACAATTAATTGTGATCAATTAATTACAAAACAGAAACGTGACATATCATTCGTGAGGCGATTGATTTACAAATTAAAACAATTAAAGTGAATCGAAAAAAATAAAGAACCAAAATAAAAGATAATACAAATGGGCGAAAATAAAGAAGAGAAGAAAAAAAAAGTACAATCAATCAACTCGATCGTAAATAATTGAATTAACGAGCAACTAATTGATATGGATAATTAATCTGTGACAATTTAACCTTCGCAATTAAATTTCTTTCTTTTCCTTCAATGGTTAATTGTTTGTTCCTAAGGGGAATGAGCTTTTGGACAGCAAAGAAATTTACTTTTCTCGCTGAGATCATCTTCATTAGAATGATTTTCATGGTCCAAATGATCATTTCGATTGGGAAGGCGTTTCAATGATCGCTGATTATGGTAATTAATTGGATGATAATCTGGTAATTGTTGTGATTGGTTATGATTCTTGTTGTTGTTTATTTCACTTTTACCTTTAAAAGGTTTTTCATCAATCTTTTCCTTAACCTGATCGATTATATCATTGGAATCAACAGCAACATCATCGTTGGGTGAATGATGATGATGATGGTGATCATCATGGTTCAGGGTGAATGTTGAGCAAGAGGCTGAACCCTCATTAAGAGATGAACTTTGGGATCCTTTGAACGCTGATTTAAATCGTGACTGTCTCACTTTCAGGGCATTGTCAACAGCATCATGAATGGTAAGGTAAACATGAGAAGGTGGGACTTGGATGAAGAATCCATCTTTCTCTAGCATCTTCTGGACATGAGTGGCCACACAGGCGAGAAAAGTTTCAACCCCAATGTGAGCGTACTCTTGGATTGTTGACCTTAACTGACGGACACCGGCAACGTCAATGTAGGAAAACATTGAACAATCAATGATTATATGAGATAAATGAACTGGAATTACGCTGTTCAATGAACCATCAAACCCATTCAAACCTGGAACGAGATCCAGTCTATGGGCTACTTCACATGTTGACCATTTCTTATCTCGTTTCCGTTTCCGTCGTTTCTTTTCAGTTAAAACTCCCCTGAGGCGAAATAAATATAAATAAAGAAAACAATTAGTTCCATCTAATAGTAATTATAATAATAAAGTGACCAATGGATCGAAATCATTTTCTGAAATATTGTATTAGAAGAAGAAGAGAAAAGTTTTCTTCCTTTTTTGATGGTCAACTAATATTGACCATAGTATTTTAATTTAACTGACCAATAGAAAGAAAATTGAATTCAAGTTAATTGTCATCAGTAGATTGTTGAAATGAATACAAGGTTAACTTTTTATATCTATTTCTATGTATCTGTTATCGTTTTTTTTTTCATAAAGAATTTTTCTTTCGCAATGAGAGGGAGGTACAATTTGGAGATGGACAATAGTGGACAGTTGATGAATATAAACATCGAAAAGATGAACAACAACAACAACAAAAAGTTCTTTTAAAACCTAGAATATTGAATATCTCTGTAGATCTGAATTCTCATATAATCAATATCAAGATTCTTTGCTCTAATTTACATCATCGACTCTTCTTTGCTTTTCTCTCTTTCTCATCTTGACATGATAACAATATGAAAGATGATGAGGATGATAAAGACCAATACTGTTTCCTAAAAATAATATTCATCTCTCATCATCATTATCTTCTTTTCTTATATTCGAAAAGTCGCAAAAAAAGAACCTTGAAAATCTTTTGAAGGGACTTTTCTTTCAGGGGAACATTTTAAATACCACTCGAAACGAACTCCCACTTTACTCCCTTTTGCACTCTCTCTCTCTCTCCTCTCTTCCTTGAACTGGATGATTCTCAAGAGACTTGGAACTTTATTCCCCATGTGATGAAAGAAATTAAAAATAATATTGAAAAGAAAATGAGAAAAGAAAAATTCATCTAAAAGTAAGTTATTTTCGCTTTTCGTCACATGTCAGAGGTTTTACTCTGACGAAAAGAAATGATCGCTAATCAATAGCTAATTAGTTGATTAGTTGATTAGTGTTTTAATCTGCAGGATGATCAAATTAATTTCTTACTTTACTGAGACTCCGGTTTTTCGTGTTAATCCTTTGTGAAAGTATTCGATGTTAGCGAAATGAAGTGGACCACAGAATTGATAGATTTTGACCCCTGGGATTTCATTGGCGGAAGCGTAACGATTGATGGGAACGTAAACATCGGAATTGTTAACGAAACCAAGAAGGTACATTTTGGGCCTTTGTGATTTGTAGATAAGAGTGAGTAAAGAGTATCCTAGGCCAACGTAAAGGCCAATGTCAACATCGAGTAAAAGGACAGCGAAAAAAGTTGTCAACCAAATGGAAGCGTCAAGTTTTGAGATTCGCCAATAGTTAGCGAAATCTTTAACCTGAGCGAGAAGAGTTTTCAACGCGACAACAATGATCGCTGCTAGAACACAATTGGGTAATTGTGAGAGAAGTGGACCTGCATAGAGAAGGACAAATAATAGGCCGACACAGTTGACCAATGAAACCAATTGTGTTCGTCCACCTGAACTTTCCTGAACAGCTGATCGAGAGAGAGACGCTGCTGATGGGATGCACGAGAAAAAGCAACTGATCAAATTTGTGGTTCCAAGTGCAAGAAGCTCTTGATTAGGATCAACCTTATACTTATGACGATTGGCAAATATCTTGCCCACTGAGATGGTCAAAGTATAAGCGACAATAGCCAAAGGTATGGTTGAGATTGAAAGTTCACGGATCAGATCAAACCTTGGATGTCGAGGTAAAGGTATTCCCCTTGGAATGGGGCCAACTATTTGGACACCCCAACGATCATAAATGGACAGAAAGTGTGAGAAAACTGTTGATAAAATGACCAAAACCAATTCAATTGGAAAGGGTATTGAAAGGTTAGTGTGTCGTGCGAGAAGCGGATTGATTACAAATTTAAATGCTAAAATGATGAGACAACAGGTAACCGAGATGATTAAGGTTGGACCATTGATGGAATCAAGTGAATAAAATAAATCTCTGTAAGTGTAGATCAATGCCAATGGGCCTGATCGATATGGTAAATGAAGGCCAAAAAGGTAGGATATTTGGGAGGTGAAAACGTAAAATGAACAAGCGGTGGTAAAACCGGAGATCAATTGTTCAGACATGTAAACGGAGAAAAATCCAAGGCGAAAAATACCAAAGACCAGTTGATAAAGTCCAATTAGAAATGAAATGGCCATGGCAATTTCGACCGCTTCTTCGGGCTTATCAACAGGTCGAAAACCCTGAGACTCGAGAACTTGGGATATAAGACTACCCGTCATAAGAGAAACGACAGCAAAAGTCCCTGAAGAAAAAGATAGAGAGAAAAAGAAAGAACAAGAAAAGATTATCTAATAATCGAAGAAGAAAAATAATAACAATAGAATTGCGAAATAAGTTCGAATGTTCAAACTTCTCTTACCGACAGCACAATGTCTCGATGTTCCCATGAAAGAGTAAACCAAAGCGGGAAAGAAGCTCGTGTATAAACCATGAACCGGTGGAACTCTAGCAATTAACGAATAGCCCATTGATTGTGGAACTTGGAAAACCAGAATAGTCAGTCCAGCGATCAAATCGACGATCAAATTTTTACGAACATTATAATTACGAAGCCAGGCAAGAATTGGGAACAATTTAACTACTTTATGATTGATATAATCAATTGAGAAATGAGGCTTAATGAAGGAAATGAACTTATTTCCCATCTTAAGGCTTGTCTTATGGGAAGAACCTTTAATAACCTCATAATGTTCATTAAATTCTGGTAAATTGTAAGACTGTCGATTAGAGTTACATTTAATTTCTGCCAACGATGAGCCAGTGTTCATTTCAATTGTCGATTCAAACAAAACACCAGGTCGAGGTTCAGCTGATCCTGGTCGGGTGATTGAGCCTCGAGGCTGTTTAAGAATCGGTGATAAACCAATATGATTATTACCTTGATCATGTTGATTTTGTTTTCTAATATCAATGTTAACCTGATCATCATCAATTATCTTGTGATAATTGTAACAATTAGTTGATTGCTGTAAATGACCTTCACTAGAAAATTTTCTGGTCAATTTACCAGCATTTGGTGATGGTGATGATGATGATTTAGATGATGATCCATCCTGATTACCCAAATTTAATTGGCTTGTTGGTGAAGTTACATAATTATTGGTAATTGTTTTTCTGACACTATTGTTGACATTTAATGATACCAAAGAGTTGATTGTTTTATCATTGTCACTATTATCCATTTGATTTGAATCACTGGGATGATTAGATTTACGATACGATCAAAATTATCATTGATACCAATTGGAGATATGATTTAGATTAATCTAATTGATGATATTGTTAGATGATGAGAGGAGAAAAAAAATAAGAGAAAGTTAAATCACAACAATTAAGAGAGGAAAACAATTTGATTGATTGGGGAACTCTCTTGCTTTATGTTAACACATAGAGAGAAATGTAATTACTGATGAAGAGATGAGAAAGTGTTGGACAATTAAAGGGAAATAATTAAGAGAATCAATTAATTGTGGGGAAAGAAACAATTGATTAATGATAATTAACAACCGAATGTGTTAATTGTTTAAAATTCATTTAGAATTTATAAAAATTAAAAGACAATCAGGTAACAATTACAATTAGATTGATTAACTTGGTGTGTTAACTGTTGATCATCAACTGTTGATATAAAATAATCAAAAATGATCAAGATGATCAAGATGATGACGATAATGACAATGATGATGATGATGATGATGATGCTAAGGGGGAGATGCGCAAAAATTGACAATTTAATAAGAAAATTATATTGACTAAATTGTTTACAATTTATCGATACAATTTAAATTATTCAAGCAATTTAATTATTTTCCTATCTCTTGACGATAATTGTTGATAATCTGTGTGAATAATTAAAACAATTGATTTTGATTACATTCACATCATTTCATGGTTGATTAATTGTTGTTTTTTTTAAAGGTAATTGTTTAGTCAATTAATTAATTTCATTGATTGTAGTAAGTGAAGTTGCTAATTTTTTGATTCATTTTCATTAACTCAATTAACTTTTTTGTTTAAATTAATTTATTATTGAATTTGATTTTTTATTTTGCTTAAACAATTAATTTTCATGTTCAATTGGTGTGTTCAAATTGGTTACACTGATTTTTAATCACAATTAATTCAACATTACCTCGGATTTTTAATCACAATTAATTGTTTACAATCAATTAATTTATTCATTTTCTTTTGCTCTTGAAGAATTAATTTAATTAATTTCTGCCTCTTATCCACTTATGCCTTTTAAATTGTTTCTTAATTTTGCATAAATTTTTTACTCCAATTAAATTCACTCAATTAAAGTTACTAATTGTTTGGAAAAAAATTAAAATTAAAATTTTTCATTTTCTTTTCGCTCATAACCGCCACCAGATGGCGTTCGTCTCAATTTCTCAATCTTTGTTTACTAATTTTTTGATAATCTGTTAATTAATTTAATCCTTAATTAGGATTTATTATTTTTTTTTAATCTCTTTTTTTTACTCTAATCAGTTGATTAACTTGTTAATTAACCATCTTAGAACATAAACTCTGTGATCTGAATCTATTCTTTACTTTACAGAACCATTTTTTTTTCTTCTCTTTTTTTTGTTGGATTTGTTGTTTTATCTTCAATTGATCAAATTGTGTTTTTGTTTTTCTCTCAATGTCTTCATCCTGTAATCGCAATCAAACTGATTATGGTTCAAATTTAAATTCTGATCGTGATGATTTTCTTTTAGGAATTTTTCTAGTTAAAGCAGGTTCAATTGGCGATAGTCTATTATTCCGATATCCATATACAATTGACGATGAAACCACAACCACAACTCCCAATGGAATCGGAGTATCACCATCAAGACAGGATAAGAAGAGTAAAAATCCATTCGCTTTAATTGTGGAAAATGTAAACACTGATTCCAATTCTTCAGGTCCCGGTGAAGATAACTGTCGAACAGGTAAAATTAAATTCACTTCTCCAATGCGATTAATTGTCCTGATATATTATCTTTTGCCTCATTATCTCTCATGTATTCATTTGTATATGTGTTTGTCTTGGGCTTTTGTTTTCTCTCTCTCTCTCTCTCTCATTTATTTTTTATTTGAAAAAAATTCTTTTCATTTGGTTTGTTTTATGCTTTAAATTAATTGTTTCTTGTTGCATTTATAATCAAAGTTTTCACACATTACACTTTAGGTCCCTCATCGAGACCCAATAAACCTTCAGCCACTTATTGTTTTGAATTGGACCCGGTCTCAACCGTGGCTACAACCACGACCGATGTTAACTTGGAAACGGTTGTTAAACTACCCGATCGTGTGGTGTCCACTTTATTTGCCGTTAAAAATGAGCTTTGTGGTAAAAAGATTGAGATTAAAATAAACGATGTTCGTTTTGTTGGTCATCCTTTATCAATTGGTGGTCCATCATCACATCAAACAACAACAACACCACAAGATCAACAACATTCATCCTCATCATCATCTTCCTCATCTTCTACATCAACAACCCCACAACCAACATCTAAAAGCAAAGATATTGTCGCTTTTAATGTTGTCTTTGCTTTAAGAGCCAATGCTAGTCATGAAGTTGTCAATAGTTTCCATAAATGTAGTAGTGCAATTGCCGCTGCATTAAAGAAAGAGGAAGATGAAAAAGCTTTTCTTAGTAAAGAAGCTAAAGGAATATTAACTGTTTTCGATGAAATTTCATCTCCTTCCGATGAATTACAGACCTCACCCTACTCAATGATCCTCGAGAAAAGCCGCCTTGCCATTGATTTGAAAAAAATTTTCGAAGATCTTAAAAACCTTGGAACCGTACAATTGAAATTGAACAAATCAACCGATTTAAACCTTTGTATACCTCAAATTGTTCACCGTTTAACTTTACAATATCATCGATCAGTACCATTAATTGGACCAAGAGAATTGACTGCAAGCTTTGGTACTCTTCGACCTTATCATGCACTTCTACTTTTAAGAGATCCTGTTACCATCTTAAGTTCAATATCAGATAATCGTTTGATCTTTAAGAAAATACTTTCCGTTGTAAATCCGACAAAAAATCTGATCACAATCGCTCGTGAAGCCCAATTAACCTACGAAAATGTTATGAAAGCAACTTGTCAACTCGTTTATTGGGCAAAAGCAACATTAATCTTTCCATTAGCTGAAAGTAATGTCTATGTAATTCATCCATTAGCTCCAACTCAGGTTGATTGTCCTTTGGTGGAAAAATTTAAACAAGCTTTCACCGATTCTAATTTACTTCGATTTTTAAGTGAATTTAGTCTTGGTACAAGTATTGATCAACTGCGAAATCCTCTTCACAATTCAGATCAACATATTCAATTGGTAAGGTAACTTAATTTCTCCATTTAAATTGTTTATCCTAATATTTTCTTTTTCTTTTCTTTTTCAATCTTTTCAGGTCAATCAAATTATTTGGCTTCTAAAGCATCGGCTAATTACTCAATTACACACTTATGTTTATTTGTTACCAGTTGATTCTAGTTCCAGTGTCAAAAAGAAATCTAATATCGTCAGGAGCACCAATGACACCGTTAACAGCGACGATCATAATCATCATCAAATTGCTTCGAATGATACCTTTAATAATCGACGATTTTCCAATTTTCACTCAAATGATTCTCCAAATAATTTCTCTGGCATTGATGAGACCAATGAAGATTCGGATTATTTGATGAATGATGCATCATCTTTATCGATTAACTATGAGAGAGCGATTCACCTCTTAAGGGAACTCGGTCTTCGAGATTATGAATGTGAATCAATCTGTCAAGTTCCAGCTTCTAAAAAGCATGAAGATCTTACAATGTTTGCCAAATTATTTCGTTTTTTTGATGGAAAACATCATCTTGAACATATAATGCATTACGAGAATGTTAAACGTTCACAACTTTTGGCGATAATTGATAAATTTCGTGATGTCCTTTTCACTTGTCAACACGAAGATAAAACTATTTTTCAATTGTGTCCTTATCTTTACGAATAAATTGAAATATTAAACAAAAAGTTTTAAGCTTGACGATTATTTTGCTTCAAAGATTAACATTTAATCGATTGAGCTGGTTAATACAAACAGAAAATGAAAAAGAATACAATTAAATCATATCAATTTGGAGAGATTTTAATCTTGTTCAATTCACTTGTGACATGAGAAAGTCTATGAAAAGCCATGTTGTTGACCTTTTTAACTGAATAAACGGAACCTTCGTGAGTTTGTCCAGTTGAAATTTGATTTATTCCAACCAAATGTTGACACAAATTGGCTTCAACTGACTGTAAACTCTTCATGAAAGCATTTGTATTCAGTTCAACTTGCTTCAAACTCGGTTTATCTTTTGCTAATTCCTGAAGTGCACTACTTGCCGATTGCAGGCCATTACAAAGCTCTTGTTCAATATGTCCCAAAGCTCTGATTGAATCCTGAGTGAAACCGGAATCAAAGTTCATTGGATTGAAACGACCTCTTGTTGGATCCATGGCTAGAAAACAGCTAATCACTAAATCAAACAAAAAATGAAAAAGAAAAAGTAAAAGATTTCAAATTGATGATACAAAGAGACAATCAGACAAAACAACAACAATTAAGAAAAAAAATTCAAAAAAGTAAACAAATGATTCTGATCGATAGTTACGCCATCTCTTATTCTCGAATGGAACTATTTTCTGTAAAGTAATTAGTTAATCTCTTTTATTAATTGTCGATAATTTGATGAATAGTGATTAGTATTTTTAAAATTTTTCAAAAATTATTCGGTATATTTGAGTAGAAATGAAAATTTTCATTCAATTTAAATCAAATTTCAACGATAACCTTTTTTTTCTGATCGTTTATCGTTTACAATTAACTACAATTTACAGCAATTGCAAAAGTTGATTGTACAATTAAACATAAATCAAAAAAAGATTATGCAAAGTTAGAAATGAAAAATTAATCAATGACAGTTAAAACAAATCATAATCATGATCATTTACTGATTTGATATTAAAATAAAAAATCAAACCTATTTTTCAATGAAAAATGATCCAATTACAATTAACTGAATTAATATAATTTTCAGTTAATTGTGTCAAATGATATGATAAACACAATTTCCTCATTCTAATAATATTCATCTTGTTGTTAAACTCGTGAAGTGATCAAATTTTAATAGTGATCATAATTAATAATCAAATGATAAAATAATGTTAACACTTTTGGTAAAATTTGTCAACAATTAAAAATTCATTTTTTACCGGAAAAAGTTTCAATTCTGAGACTCTTTTAATCAGTACAAAAGTAAAGATTAAAAGTATCTCAATATAATCGTAACAATTAACATGAGATTGATTAGTTGACCAATTGATTAGAATGATTTTCTTTTCATTTATTAATATTGAGTATCATTAATTGTGGTCCAATAAGGATAATTAAAGGTTGAATTGTTTAAAGTTAATTAGTCTCTCTGATATGTTTAAAGTTAACCAAGAGGAGGATCAATTTTGTAATCAACTAATTTAGTAATTTAACTAACTAATAACAAGTCAATTAACTCATCATCGGCAGCCAATGAATGGATTACCTTTTAAATCATTGGAATGGAAAAAAAAATTAAATGAATTGTTGTGAGAATTCAGAACTTTTTTTTCCTCCTTCATTGATTAACAATTTATTAGACACAGGAAGAGACAATTAAACAATTGTTTCGACTTCAGGTAACATCAAGTTTCGAGTTGAAAACTTTTTTTTTTCTGTTTTTGTTTTATTCTTTCACCAAAAGTTTCTCATTAATTAGTTTTGTAATTTAGAGACAATTTATCAATAGTTAATTGCAATTCAATTGTTTACCTTTCTGTTAGAAAAGTGATAATAATTAGTAAATTGATAAAATACAATTTCTTTGGTTGAAATAAGTTTAAACAATTTGATAATCATGAAAGATAATCAGGTAATTATATCCGGTGTTTCTGGTCGATTCCCTAAATCTGATAATGTTGAAAAGTTTTGGTCAAATTTGTTCAGTGGTCAACCACTTTATGGACCGGATACTTTTCCATATCCCAAAAGTAAGTCAATTGTTACAACAATTAAGATCACAATTAGAGATTATTGGTGATCAATTGATTCGATTCATTGGTCAGTTCAATGGAAATGGTCATCGATCCCTGAGCTTAAGTGTTGATTGTTTTGTTTTATTTTCATCACTCCGAATGTGCAAATATTAGTTTCAATAGATTTAAATTCAGCTAATTGTTCATTGAGAATGATCAATCTTATGATAGAATATGATTCAATTAAGAATGAGAAAAGTTATTTAGTTAATTTGTTGTTTTTACTAATTAGTCTTTTCCAGGTTACCCAAATCCAGAGGCGCTCTTAATGATACCAGATTATTTGATAACACTTTTTTCAATTACACAATTAAGGAAGCAAATACCCTTGACCCACAGATCAGAATACTCTTGGAGGTTGTTTATGAATCTCTTTGGGATGCTGGTGAGTATTGATTAGAGAATAAAATTGTTCGATATTTTTGAAATTTTATTCTCTTCTCTTCAACGATATTATAATCCGCTAAATCAGGAATACGACCTGAAGAATGGAGAGGTACTCGAACGGGATTTTTTCTCGGCTCTGCTTTCGATGATACCGGATTATCTGTTCGTTGGGATTATAAGCTCGATTTGCCTCAATATTTTGCTCAACGGGTTTCCTATTATTATGATTGGAGAGGACCGACAATGATAGTGGACACTGCGTGTGCTGCAAGTTTAAATGCCCTTCATTCAGCCTACTGGTCAATAATGAAAGGTGAATGTGATCAAGCCGTTGTTGCCGGAATATCAATCCACTTGAAGCCAAGTATAACCGTTTGTTTTGGTGAACTTGAGATGCTTTCAAAATCCGGTGTTTCTTGGTGTTTAGATGAAAAAGCTGATGGTTATATACGAAGTGAGGCCATTGTTGCCGTTGTCCTACAGAGAAAGCCCAATGCCCGACGTGTTTATGCCTCAATTTTAAACAGTTGCACCTCATCCGATGGATACACCAAGGAGGGTATTACTTTCCCTCGACGAGAGGTACAAGTTGAAACAATGAAGCAAACAATCAAACAATCGGGTGTTAATCCATTTGATGTTACCTATGTTGAAGCTCATATAACGGGAACCGCTGCCGGTGATCCAATTGAATCTTCAGCCATTATGGAGGCTTATCGAGCCAATTCTGATCGACCGCTCATGTTGGGATGTTTAAAGTCCAATATCGGCCATTCCGAGGCATCAGCTGGTCTTTGCGCTTTAACAAAGGTCCTGAAAATTTTCCAAACCCAATTAATCCCTCCAAACATCAACATGATCAATTGTAATCCACGAATTGAAACTCTTAGAGAGGGAAGACTAAAACCCGTCACTAAACCGACCATTTTTACCGATGAAATAATTTCCGTTGATGCTTTTGGCTTTGGTGGTTCCAACACTCATGTTATCCTTAAAGGGCCAAGAAATAAATCATCACCAAGTAAACAATTACCACCATCGCTATCAACTGATTATTATCCACGATTAACTTTAATCTGTAATCGTACCAAGGAAGGGATTAACGAGATGATCAAGACAATTGAAAAATGTAAACAAACTGACCAATGGCTATTTAACTATGTTAACTAATCTTGGTTACAGTTCAATTGAAACTGGTTTTCATTATCGGTCATTTGTTTTAATTGATTCTAATCAAAAGGTTTACAGTGAATCAAATTTAGCAATTAAACAGAAACCTTTGTGTTTACTTTTTGATGATTTGGATAATTTTAATTCTGGTGATCAACATAACAACAATTTAACAATTTTAACTGATTTTGTGACCAAAGCTAAATTGTTTATCAATCAAAATGCTGGTAAATCTTTCCAAGTATCTAAATCAATGGATAAACAAATTGATTTGGTTATCAATCAAATGGCTTATGCTTTTCTCATTAAATCACTTGGCCTGATTCCCGATTTAATTGTTGGCATTGGTATTGGTAAAATAGCCGCTCAATATACCGCTGATCAGATCACTTGGGAAAAAGGATTAACCTTAGCTGTTAATTACTCTAATCAGATGACCAGTGGAAAAGGTAATCAACAATCATCAATGGGAACCAATTGTCCAGATAAAAATGGTAAATTGTCTGACCTTTTAAAATGGATACAAATACAATCAACACAATTAACCTGTAACAACAATGGTAATTGTAAACTATCAACATCAATCAATGACGATTACTATTTCCATATTAATCAAGAGGCTAATAATTTATTGAGATCATCATCAATCAATGACTGGACAATGGTTCGTCTCAATACAAACATGTTGACCTTTAACTTGACCAATAATTTAAAATTAACCAGCAATCAATTGGATTCTAAATCAGTTCTAATCAGTATTGGAAATTTGTATCTTAATGGTTATAATCCAAGAATTAATATTCTTTACCCATGTAATTATCCAGTTGAAGCTGATTGTCCATCAATAGGTCATCTTATTGAATGGAAACACGATATTCACTTCGATAACATGGTCTATCCCGAGTTCTTCCGAGATTCTTTCCGAACCAATCATCGAATTGACCTGGTTGATTCCAACTATTCTTACCTTGCCGATTACCTTGTCGACGGTTCGGTTACCCTTCCAATCGCTGGTTATATCTGGATAATTTGGGAACATTTAGTTAAGATGAGATGTTCTGATCAACATGTTCGATACCATTCATTTGAACTTTGGTCCACTCAGATTCACCGGTTAACCTGTATAAAAGATCCAGTTGAATTCCGAATAGGATCAAACCCGGTAACCCATGAATTCATTGTTAAATTGGGTGAAGATATTTGTGTAACTGGATTCGCTAAAATAGTTGATGATTTACCTTTCGATTATAATCTTGGTCACCTTGATTTACCATCAAAATCACCCAATGAACAGCTCACACTGACCTCGGAAGATTTTTACACGGAAATGTCAATCCGAGGATTAACCGTTAAACCAAATTGTCAAGCGATTAATTCAGTTACCGCTGATGGTTTACAATCTAAAATTAAATTCACTGGAAATTGGATTGTCTTTTTTGAATCTTGTCTACTTGTACCTCTATTGGGAGACTTGGATAGATGTTTGAAAACAGTTACCTCATTAGATTGGTTCCGTTGTGATCCAATTATGATTAACGATCAATTTAAGGCTTCCAAGAAGATTAAAAATGATCCTGGACTTAATCTAGTTCACAATACAAGTCTGGGTACTTTTGGTACCCATGGATTAGTTTTCAAAGTTCCTAATTATAATTCAATTGGACGATCATTGGATATCAATAATTTACACCATAAATTTCAAACTTGGATTCCCTATTTTGGCTCATTGCCAATGGATCATGTTGATTATCAATCTCAGGGAAGAGTTAATTATCTTAATGCTGTTGATAGGATGTTAAATGCTCTCGATAATCCAAGAGATTGGATTAATGTTCCAACCCTGATGGGTTCAAATGATGTTTTACTTAATCTACTCTGGGAAACATATAAAAATCCTCGACCAGTTGATCATCTCCGAGAACAATTTATCTCAAATAGAGTGAAATTAAATCAGGATAGATTAATTTATGAGCAGCAAACTCAATTGTTACTTCAACATTTGGCTATTTTCGAGGAAAATGTCAAACCAAATGGAACAATTAACATTAAATCAATGGGATTATCTGGTTATCCATTTGAGGATATTTGCTATAACTCATTCCGTCGTATCCGTAATCGTTATTCATTTGCATCGGAATCAACACCAATCAAAAATTTAGATTTAATCATCTACAATCATGAGAGTATGAGTTTACTGCCAAGTCTAGATGATGAGCAAAGTATTCAACAATTAACTGATCATCTCTCATCAATGGAATCATCGTCATTTGTTATCGTTCAATTAAGAGATTCAGTGTTACCCTTGGAAAATAAATTATCGGCTTATACCAAGATTGAAATGATTAAATCAATGGATCGTAATCGAGTTAATATCAACAAATTGTTGATTGAACAAAACTTTATTCCAATATCTGAATATTCAATTGCCAATGGGCAAATGTATTCATTGTTATTTAGGAAGAAAGTTCAATTTAATTCAGAGAAATCAATTTGTCACTTTACAATTAAGGATCGTTCCTATGAATGGATTACTGAATTACAAAAGGAAATTGCTAATCCAAATTATGAGAGGATTTGGTTGATCGCGGATAAAACTGATCGAAGTGGAATCATTGGTCTAATTAATTCACTTAAAGAGGAACAATTTGGAAATAAAGTTCGATGTATATTCAGTCCTGGTTCTAAAATTGATCTCAATTCTGAAATTTGCTCAGAATTACAATCGAAAGATTTAGTTATCAATGTTCTGAGCAATCAAACATGGGGATCATTCCGACACTTTGGATTATCAAATGAACAAATTTTCACTAATCATAAGCAAGTTTACCTTGATTGGAGTGGTGATAATGAGGATAAAGAGATTAGTAGCAAATTGGTTTGGTGTAAATTGCCCAATTTAATTGTTAAAGATGATTATGTTGTTAATCATTATGCTCCATTAGATTTTACAATTAAATCTGTCCATAGACAGTCAATTAAATCAACTGATTGTGCCCAAGGAATTGGTAATGAATTTGCTGGTCAAACCAAGAATGGAATCAAAGTATTGGGTAAGTGATTAAAAATTCAATTCGAAACTCAATGATTACAATTAAATCTAATCCAATACATTTCTCTCTCTCTCTCTTAATTGTTAATTAAATAGGACTTTGCACTAATCAAGGTGTTTCCAATATAATTAAACCTGAACAATTAATCTTTGCTCTTCCAGTTCCAAACAATTGGAATCTAAAAGATGCCTCATCAATTGTATTACCTTATACAATTGCTTATTACTCGTTAATTGTTAGAGGTTCATTAAAATACAAATCAACTGTCTTATTATACAATTTGACTGATGGTTTAATTGAAGCTTCGGTGACAATCTTAACCTCACTTGGTGTAATGTTATCATTTATCATGATAATTTATCGACCGCTAATCTGATTGCTCTTGATGGTATATCCAAGAATCAATTGTTATCACCAAAAGTTGATTTACTTAAACAAATTGGTTCTCATACTGATTATCAAGGATTAGATTATATCTTTTCAATGGATTCAACTGATAAACTTGAAAATTTATCAACTTGTCTCTCTCTTAATGGTAAATTAATCCATCTGATTTCGGGTATTCAATCACAGAATCAAGTTTTCGGTGAGTTAATTACTAATATATTTACATTAGAATTTGCTGATTTTTTCCCTCATCTAATTGATTTAATTTATTGCCCATTCAACAACAATTAACAGAGTCTTCATGGTTACCTGTAAATTCAAGTTTAGAGTCAATTGTTTGGCCTGAAGTAATTAAAGCTTGGAGTTGCAAATCAGATTCGAGGAGTTTAAAACATCTCGATTTAGTTGTAGATTATTTGAAAAAAGGTTTGACCAATGGTCAAATTAAGCCAATCAAGAAAGTGAACCTTTTCAAACGAGTGGATCTTATAAAAGCAATAAATCAATTATCTTCATCTAATCCATTGGGTAGAGTTGTAATTCAATTGATTGACAATGAGGGTCAAGCTAAACAATCAGTTGATTGTCTGGATTTGGTTCCATGTGAGGCAAGGACTAAATTCAATAGTGATAAATGTTACCTAATCTTTGGTGGATTAGGAGGAGTTGGACTTCAACTCGGACAATGGATCGTTGAACATGGAGGTAGAAAGATAATCCTAATCTCACGAAAAGGAGTAACTAAAAATTTCCAACGATTTATGATCCATAAAATGATGACATGGCCCGATAAGGTTAATCCAGTTATGGTGAAAACCTTTGAATTACCTGAGAATCCAGGTTACAATGAGTGTCTATCACTGATTGAGAAAATACAGTCAACAATTAGTCTAATTGGTGGTGTCTTCAATTTAGCGGGAACATTGGCAAGTGGACTATTTGAAAATCAAACAATCGACAATTATAATCTTGTCTGTTCATCTAAAGTTGAATTAACTGAGCATCTTGATGTGATTACCCGTTCATATTGTTCATCATTAGATTATTTTGTTTGCTTCTCATCAATTGGATCAACTGGTATTCTTGGTGAATCAAATTATTGTTATGCTAATTCATACATGGAAAGGATTTGTGAGGCTCGATGGTCATCTGGTCATCCTGCTTGTGCCATTCAATATGGAGCCATTGGTGATGTAGGTATGGCCACCGATAATTCATTAACTGTAATTGCTGGATCAGTACCACAGCCAATATTTAGCTGTTTACAAAGTTTGGATAAATTTTTACAGCTTAATTATCCAGTCATGTATTCAGCGATTAGCGCTGAGAAATCAGGTTCAGCTGATGGTTCCAAGGGTGGATTCATTCAGCATATTGAACATATTCTGGGCTTACAGAATTTGGATACTCTGGATGAGACAATTACTCTTGGTGATCTTGGTCTTGATTCACTTCAGTCAATTGAAGTTAAAGATTTGATTGATAAAACTTATGGAGTAACTTTACAGAACATTGCAATTGGTAAATTGTCCATTGGAAGTTTATTACGATTCAAGGAGGAACATGCAAATTCTGGTGGTTCTGAGGGAGGAAATTACACCGAAGAGGTTATAATCAATCTAACCGATAAAGGGAAAGCTCCAGTTTTCTTTTTCCCTCCGGCGTTATTTGATTTCCTTTCTATGAAAGCATTGGCTGAATCGTTACAACGAACTGTTATCGGTGTTGATCTACCAGATTCTGTTCGTCAAATTGGTAATTTACATAAAATCGCTGAATTTTATGCAAATAAAATATTGGAAAAATTTCCTGACGAGAGTAAATATTATTTCGTTGGTTATTCGTATGGTTGTTTAATTGCCTTCGAAGTGGCCAAAGTTTTACAGCAAATTGTTGGTCCAAGTAAGATGAATTGTCTGTGTTTTATTGATGCAACACCTTATGGACTTAAAAGACTGGGACAGATCACTACCAAGGCCGCTTTACTTGGACTTCCTGGTTCGGAGGTTTTTTGTATTGCAATGGATCATCTTGGTGTTCATTTTGATGAGCCAACTCGACAACGTTTATTGGAAGCCGAAGATGATGATGAACGATACATAGAACTTGTCACCGAACTAATGGCCTCCGCTGGGATGAACGGACCTGCAGAGGGATTACTTCATAATCCAGTGGCCAATATTGACAGAGGTTATTATCTAACCCACATGGATGATCTTGGTAAATTCAATGGTGATGCTCTATTCATTAGAGTGCTAGTAAGACTAATCATGGAAAACCATCAACAGTTTGTGAAGGATTATCCAAGGTGAGAAACAGTTTAAATGGCAACAATTTACACGACAATTAGCATTGATTTATATGAATAATTTTCTCTCTCTCTCTCTCTCAATACAATTAGATTATCACTGGAAAAATCAAGGAAGTGCTTTACAATGCTTCTCATTTCGATGTGCTCAAAGTCTATGCCAAGGAAATTGCTCAAGAAATTGAAGAGATGATGCCTCCGGATATATGATAATTATTTGGAACAATTTTTTATTTCTTTAATTTGGAAAAAGATAAATTTAACTATTCTCAATTTATTCGAGTTTAATTTTCTTTCAATTATTCTCTCTCTATTTGATTTACTTTCAAGTTCAATTTGAATTGTGGTTAATCACATTGATGATACTTTTAAGTGTTGTTGATAATAAGTTTAAAGTTTATTCAATTTAAGGGATAATCAGATAGATAGACACAGAGAAAACATTGTTGGAATAGTAGTGAAATTTTCCCAAAAAGGAAGAGGAAACAAAATGAGAATTATGGTTTATAAGCTTCCGTGAGATGTCAACTGAGTAAAACATCAATTAAATTTGATTTGATTTATGATTGACTTGAAAAAATCCAATGGATTTCAAATATATCTACTTAACATGTAATAATAATGATTTAATAGGTTGGGTATTGACGGTGGGGTGGGTGGACATTTTCATCTGCTCTTGTCTTTCCTCCTCATGGATATGAATTGTTGAGGTGATGATTGGATTTATGAGATGATGATACTGACCATTGGAGGATGATTTTGTGTAGAGACAATAAGAGGATGATTTTAGTAATGATGATGAAAGGAAAGTGTAACTTTTGCCTGTCATCACCAAAGAAAATTGTCACACTGAGAGTGGAAAATGGAAGAAATTTTTTTCAGACAAAATGCGAAATATTTTTCTTTTTCAAATATGAATTCTCTGAATTATTATTATTATCTAATAATATAAATAAACAATATCATCATAAATTTTATTCCATAGATAAACAATCAGAATTGATGAAGAAAATGAAAGTAACAAATTTTTTGTTCCAAACTTTCAGTGTCTAGCCAATTTTCATCTGTCATCTTTCATCATCATCATAAATATCATCCTCATCCCTCTTGATGATCTGACAGAGGAGAGGAAAGAGGATGGAGAAGAGGATGAGAATGCAAAGAGTGAGCTGGACTCACGGGGTAGATTTAAGGATCTTCATCTTTACTTAATAGTAAACATAAGGACCAATAAATGTAAACCATAAATCAAATGAAGGCAATGATGGGGATGAGGATGAGGATGAGGATGAGGACTGATCATGATCGTAAATCAACTGGACTATCGTCCTTTCAATAGCAGGACCCATATACTTATAGTGGGTGGTATTGGTGAATGGGGTGGACAAGTTGATCTTTCATTCATTTTTGAGAGTATTTTTGTCTTTACTTTGGGTGATTTGAGAGTTAATCAACTGATTGTCAACACGACCAATGATTATATGAATTGTCGGTTGAATGGTTGTTTACTAATTACCAATCTGATTGTTTCATAGTTTCACCACATTCTTTGTACCAATTTTTAGGAATCAAGGTTGAAATGTATTCCATGAACGTGGTGAACTCACAAACTGTTGATTGTTGACAAAAAGGTAATTTAAGTTTGATTAAATTCTCAGAGTAACTGTCTTTAAGATAATAGACTGATATTAATTGTTGATTTTCGTTCTGATTCGAGCGATACAATTCAAATATTACACTTGCTCCATAGTCTGGATTCTGTTTATCAAATGACTTTAAAGATGATAAAATTGCGGCGATCATTGAATCGTGAGTCGAATAGAAGAAAACTTTTTTTCGATCTAAATTGCTCGCTGTCGACGAACGAGTTGATTTTGATCTTTGCGATAGTAAATTGGAAAATAATAACCACTTTTTCGGTTTTAAAGACGAATAACTTTTCTTTCTATCGAAATCAGCTTCAGGGCTGAATCTACTTGAAAGGTCTTTGAAAAAGGGTCCTAATGAATAGACGATTCATATGATTAGAACTTTTTTTTTATCCAGACAATAAGAAATGTCCGTAAATGTTATACCTGTTCGTATTCGTTGGACAGGTTTGGTTAGATATCGAAAGTGGTACTTTAAGTTGTGCATTTCCTTGAGATTTTCGAGGACCAAATCAGTGGCCCACAAAGGCAACGTTAAATTGTTTTCCTTTTCGCATTTCAATGTACCATAAATCATGAGAGCTTTTTCCATGGATTTTATTTTTTCTCCAGTAACAAACGATAACATTGGATACAATTTCTGAGAAAATATTGAATTAGTGAGGATTTAGGGTCACTAGGAATTATGAGTTCGAAAAATTTACCGAATATTTTTTCTCACAGTCCTGATATTCAACCGATTGTCGAATTGACTTAAACTCTTTTTCGGCATTTGGACAATAAACTGAAGGATTAAGTAGCTTATCCCTTGGTCTCGGTACAGTATGAACGGCAATCGGAACCCAATTCAGATTCTCAGACCAAACCCATGGACCGGTTGGTCGAAATGCTCCAGCAAGGACAAGATAAGCGCTTTCAAGACAACGATCAGCGTCTGAACTTTGAGCATAAAATTCACGAATATTGTCAGGCCAAAAGTCACCATAATATCTAGCGAAAAATTCACCAAGGATAAACATCCTTTCCTTTCCAACCTTACAAATAAAATTAAATGGTAACAATTAAAATTAAAATTCTTCAAATCGTCTGATTGATTAACTCACTGAAGTTAATTGTCCCCAACCATCAGGCCAAAATGTTGGATCGCGATAGGTATCAGTTGGAAATGAACGAACTGGAGTTCGATCGCCGTGTCGATGAGCCTTAAATTCACATTCGAGAAAAGGAAAAAAAAAGTTTAGAAACAAAAACTTGACCATTAACCAGATCGCCCAAGGGCAAAACTTACAATCGCCACTGACCAAAGCCTGTAACCGGCAGGAACATTATCTTTATATGAGTTAATCAATTGACCAGCATGTGAGAAAATTAATAAATGTATTAACAGTAAGGATGAGATCAAATTAATCTATTAAATTGATGAAATAAATCAAAGAAAAATTTATGATTAAAAAAAACAAATTAAATCAAGTTTGGATTTAACTTAATCACGATGATTAGGTAACAAATTATTCAAATTTTCACAATTAAAGCCATAATCAGTGGTGATACAAAGCTGATGATGACCACAAGGATTAGTAGTAAAATCGTTACATGTTTTAACTCCTGTTGATTATAAAGAGAAAAAATTAGTTTAATTGTTAGTTAATTGTGAGATAATCAACTTACTAGTTTCACAAAATTTACCAGCAAATCCTGGTTGACAAATACAATTAACAATAGTTACTTTCTTAATTAGCATACTACTGATAATCCAATCATTATTTTCAACACAATCACCATAATTAAGACAAGGCTCATCAGAACAATGAATTTCTTGATTGGTCTCAACAATTAGCCCAAAAGTTGCAATAAGAATCAAATTAATTGTGATCATTTTAATAAAAATATTTACCTTAATCAATTGAACATTGAGAGATGATCTTTGTAAATTAACCATTGAACAATTGGATTGTAAACAATTAAAGAAAAACAAATTTACCTTAACCAACTGATCGTCAATTAATTAATAGAAATCAAGGATTCGAAATACAATTAATCAAAATTAGTATAAAATCCTAAAAACAGTTAACAAGGAAAAAGAAAAGTGAATCAATTTAGTTAATTATCTTCGTTAATTGTGATTCGATCATTTGATTGTTTTCTTTGAACTTCCTCAAGATGGCGACTCGTTTTCATCATCAGTTCGAACTCAGAATTGGAAGAAAAGAATTTCCTATAATAGAATTGATGTATAGAACTTTGTTCTAACTGTTATTCGTGAACTTATTCTCGATCCAGTAACTTTACAATTGATCTCGACTTGGACATCGAAATTTACCAAAAAGTAAAACTTTTTCTTTCGAAACAAAAACCAACATAAGTTTCGATATCGTAAATATTATCGACAATATTATCAATTGAACCATCACAATCATCAGTTAATTGTTGCTAATCAGTAAATTTTTTCTCTCTAAACAGACAATTTAAACAATGGATACAAATCTTCAATCACTATCATTGGAAACAATTAACTTACTGTGTTTTCATCATTGGGAACTGATAATCAACTGATTTTTAATCATCTTTGTGTGTGTTTTGGTTTAAACGTTCAAATATAATACAATTAGTTAAATTGTTCACTTGTTATTGTTAATTTTAATTCAACATCTTAACTTATTGAATCAAATTCATAATGATTCAATTAAAACAAATCACCAACCTAATTAATTCATCATCATTAATCATATTGTACATCATCATCATCTTAATTACTTTAGGTAAGTACAATTAAACATAATCTAATTATTAACTATTAATCCAACTGACATGGAATGATTTAATTGTACTCGATTGATTAACTCTTAATTGTTACTTTTGTTTTTCATTAATTGGCTCAATTGTCAATTGATTGATAAAGTAAATCAATTGTGAAAATATTGGGATCATTTAAATGATCAACAATTAATCCACTTACACCTGAGTTCCAACAATCAATAACTGGATTACCAGAAAAACTATTGCAACAATTTATCTGAATGATAATAAATTATATTCCAATTAATCCTGATTAAATGCTGAATCAATCATGTAACCAACTATTAACATGAACTCAATCACAATCAATAGCGTAACAATTAACTGGATAGTAAAAAATTTCAATACAATTAACTTGAACCAATTGATTACTTGAAACAAAGCAATTAATTCAAAACGGTAATTCAACAGTTAATTGTTATATGTTAATGATAATTGAAAATTAATTATCCTCAAAGTTTGATTAACAAGAAGCAAACAAAAAGTCAATACAATCATTTGTATTTGCTAACAAATCTTAAATTTGATTTAATCGATTGATTAATCAAAGATTAAGCCAATAAGGATAATACATAATCCATAATCTAATTCAGTTACCAAGTTAATCAGCTAATCATAGTTTCACTTGATCATTAAATTAATACAGATAATATTATATGTAAATCAGATTATGATTGTTTCACAATTGAATATAAGATTATCCCTGTTGACAATTTGTCCTTAACTTATATATAAAAATTATCTGTATATTAAGATATTAGCTGATTATTACCAAATGGTTTTACCAACAATTTCAATTGCTAGTTGATTGTTAAGGTGAATTATTGATTTGTATCCACAGGAATAGACAATTGATAAAAGCTGAAAAAAAAGTTTCCATTTTGAGTAACAAAATCAATTGGATTTGAAATGAAAAAACATGAATTGAGAAACAAAAAGTTCCAAGGGTAATATTAACATGATAATAGCGATGATAATGATGATATTGTTGAGGGAATGATGATAATCAGGTAAAAAGATGATGATGATGATGATCCAAAATGGATTTACCATTAAATTGTATGTTAAATTGTTGGCAACAAAATTGAAAGTCTTTTCAAGTGGTTAACAAGTGGATTGGAGGGTATTTGTTATATACCAAAGAAAATGTTAAGAATTTGTAGTTAATTAGATTGATTATTATGGTTCTGTTCATGATGATGAGGATGAACAAGATGAAGATGAAGATGAAGATAAGGATAAGTAATAATAAGCTTGATGATTTATTAGTGATTAAAATGAATCCATAACTTTGCATCATCATGAATTGAAGGGAACACATTGAAAAGATGAACAGTTGATTAAGATTAAGTTTATGATTAATTGTAAACAGAGATTTGTTTAGATAATCTAACTGTTAATGGAGATAATTTGTTGATCATTGTTAGAGTTTAAATGATTAACATTTTATTTCATTCATTTATCATTATTTGATTAAAATCCAATATCTTAATCTGATGATATTTGATTCCTTTATCTGTGATTACATGGTAACAATATAATGTATTTATCATGTTTTCATCGTCATTGATTATGTAATATAATTTGTTAATAACACTGTCATTATCTTAATAATGATGATTATTGTCCGAGACAATTAGCTGATCATGTTGAGTAAATAGTTGAATCATAAATTGTGATCATTGTGGTGTTTATATTGTATTGAATCTCAGGTATCATTTGATTATCTTGGATGAAAATTCAAGACTATTAACTGATTGTCGATGATTAACTAGTGTTGATTACTCAGTTCATTCATTGGGCTTAATTATTGAGACTTTACTTTTCGCTTGGATTATGTGTATTATATATCCTGGAATTGGAATTTCATCATGAATGAATTTCAAGAAAATCAAGATAGAAAATCTCATCAGGGATGATAAAACCTCATGAATTCTAACCCATTCTCTTACATTCTGATAATACTCATGAAGTCATGATGATTCATTGATTCCTCACTGATTTTCCAAACTTGAATCAAACATATTCCTAAATCTAATTCTTCAGTGTTAATAAGAGATTTTCTTTTAATACAAAAGATTCATCGTTCCTTATATACCTCTTGCTCTCTCTCTCACTCATTTTCTCCTGTTAATCAGCATCTCCATCTTATCACCAGCATCATCACCAACTTACCTTTTCCTTCACTTCCGGTTCAATTGTTTCGTTAACCATGTTGTTGTTATCATCGATTAATACCATGTAGCATATACGGGCCACTCTATTGTCGACAGAGTTACTACAAGAATTGATGAGATGATGAAAACCGACAGCCAACCCAACAACAACAAACAGATAACATAATTAGAGTCACTCTGTTCACCATGAGAATAACCTACTTACATGATGAAATCTGAATAATATCATCTCAACAACCCTTATAAATATTAGTTAACCTTTACTTTTATCATCTTCAAGTAACATCTCAATTATCATTGAGAAAGTGAATCTGTTTATATGTGTTATTTAAGTGCATTAATTAAAAGCTAATCAATAAATTATAGCTGGTAAAACACAAAAAGATAACAATTAAAATTAAGGTAACGACTGTACTTCGAGTATTGTAAATCTTTTGTTTAATTCAATCCTTTAATCATCATCAAGATAATTACAACTATTGATCAACCTTTTCATGCTACAACAATTTAAATTTAGATTAACATTTGTCTTCCAACAATTTGGTTTGCCAATTCATCAATTAATCATTTGAATAGCATCATTAAATAATAGCCTAAGGGTAATTTTTAGTACCAACATCGCTTTTGAAACAATCAAAGTAAATTACAGGGCATTTCACCAAATTTTCAGCAAGTTTTTCTTGAATACTTTATTGTTTTTGAGTATTCAGACTCCCAAAGTGACCCCGAACTCCACATCATGACCGGAATGACCTTGATATAAAATTATGCCAATTGAATATCGCCCAAACTTCCGAAACTCGAGTCTGGAGTCTGAATACATAAAAACAATAAAGCTATTGAAAAACTCGTTGGAAACTCGGGAAATGCCCTTTAGTTTAAAGAATTGACCTTGAAGATTCTTGTTTTTCTATTTTGATTAAATAATCTTTTTTTATGCAATCAAATTATCATGATTAGTTGATTATTTTGATGTTATGGTAAAAATTTGGCAACAATCAGCTTACTAATTGTAAATTGTTAATCAATAGTATTGATAATAAATAAATTCCCTTGGGATTTTGGTTTACATAATTTCAGGGTGAAAATTCAACTTGTAATCATTATCATCACTAATAGACACAATTGTGTCAGGTAATTTTAATTGTGTCTAAATTGTTACAATCAAAATACAATACACACACACACACACTTACATATAACAATAGTTTAATATTCAATATGTACTTGAATTTTTCCAATTGTTAATCAACAATTGATTTGCTAACTGTAAAAATGAAAAAATAATTGTGACAAAAAAACACATCGTTGATTAGATTGAAACAATTTGTGATATTAAATCATGATGATTGATGTGACAAAATGAATGATGAATTAGTGTTAATCGTGAGTGGATTTTTTTTTGTCAAAATACAACAATTGAGTGTTAATCTTGTCTAAAATTCAGTCAGAACTTTTTTTCCTCTGAGTTTTCATCAGAATCAAATATATACACGGAAGTGGAGAAACTTTTTTTCCCACCACAAAGTTTTATGAATGTGTGACTATGTGTGTGTGTAAATGGTGATGATTTGGTTTGTGATAGCAGTTAATTGTAATTGAGTGACTTGATTTATCCAACAATTGAATTGACAGTCATGCTAGAAAATGATTAAACATGATGGTCAGTGAATGGTTTGTGTGTGAGTGGTCAAGTCTTTGGGAATCTTTTTTTTTGTCTGTATATTGAATTCAACTCAAATCATTTTCATTATCAAAAAAAAAATCTGAAATAATCTCTGGTCAACTTATCGGTTCTTCATCAACTGAACTTCATTGCCTGTCCAGTAAATTGACCAGAGTGAAGCAACATTGAAGTGGTCAACACAACAGGATCATCATCACCCTGATAATTTACATTTACATTGTCCATCTCTTGGTCATTTTATCAACAACTTTACCACTTGACTTGTACATTATTACAATTGTGTCTCTTTTTGTTATATCAACTCCCAGTAGATGATAATAATAACATTATGATAATATTTATCACTTAGATTAAGATGATATTTTTTTCATCTTCTTACATTTAAACCCCTCAGGCTAAATGTTCATCGTGGTGTAAATATTTGTTTTAACACCTTTTCCAACCCTGATTCCTCATCATCATCAACAGAAACTGAACCTTATTCATGTTTACAATTGATTAAATTGTTTGAAATGATCAATCTTATCAAGTAGCCATTTTTGTTTCACTAATCAAACAATACAAATAGTCAAACAATTAACATCATCATCACAATCTCAATGATAATATTATCATCCTTGATTTCATCCTTCAGGGTTTGGACATTCATCATGAAAATTCATTCAGTTATCACTTGGAGTGAAAATCAGTTAATGAGTTACTAATGATGAAAGAAATGGTTTTTTGATTACATTGAAATGATTAGTTGATTCAATTGTAAATTCACCAAATAAACAAGTAAAAAAATGAATGTTTCCTTTTTCATAAGAAATTTAATAATGTTGAAAATTAGTGTAAAACTAATTAAACAGTCAAACTTATATTCCTTTGAAAATATTATCATCATTAACCATCCTCATCCTCATCTTCATCCTCATCATCACCTCATCTTCAACCTTTACCCATTCATTACGACCAAATATTTACACTGAATCTTTACCCTCTTCCTGTCTAACTAACTACAATCAGAATTGTTAACATTATCATAATCAAGTCTTATTATTATGTGCATATGATGATTGTTTTTATCATCATCATCATCATCATCATAATCATTATT